ATTTCAAATGAGAAGGCCTGCCTCTCAGTTTCCACTCTAATTCATCCCAAAGGTGTTCTATCAGGTTGAAGTCAGGACGGTGCAAGCCAGTCAAGTTCCTTCACCCCAAACTCGCTCATCCATGTCTTTGTGGACCTTGCTTTATGCACTGGTGCGCAGTCATGTTGGAACAGGAAGGGGCCTTCCCCAAATTGTTCCCACAAAGTTGGGAGCATGAAATTGTCCAAAATGTCTTGGTATGCTGACGCCTTAAGAGTTCCCTCCACTAAGGGGCCAAGCCCAACTCCTGAAAAATACCCCCCCCCCCCACCACCACCACCAAACTTTACACTTGGCAAAATGCAGTCAGGCAAGTACCGTTTTCCTGCAACTGCCAAACCCAGATATGTCCATCAGATTGCCAGACAGAAAAGCATGATTTGTCATTTTGCGTGGCCTTCCACTTCGTGGCTGAGTTGCTGTTGTTCCCAGTTGCTTACACTTTGTTACAATACCACTAACAGTTGACCGTGGAATATTTAGTAGCAAAGAAATTTCATGGATGGACTTATTGCACAGGTGGCAACGTATCACGTTACCACGTTTGAATCCACTGAGCTGAGAGCAACCCATTCTTTCACAAATGTTTGTAGGAGTCTGTATACCTAGGTGCTTGCTTTTATACACCTGTGGCCATGGAGGTGATTTGGAACACTGGATACAATGATTTGGAAGGGTGTCCCAATACTTTTGGCAATATAGTGTATGTATTGGATCTAATATGTCCAAGAAATGCTCCCAGCAGTAAAATAAATATCCAGGGAGAATATGGACAGCCTTGATGATAGATATTGGTTTGTGCTGGGTTCCATTGGTTTTGATTGCTGCTGTAGGTGCAGTGTAAAGAGATCTGATCCACTACACCATTTTGAGAGGAATTCCTATTTGCTTTCCAGTTAAATACAAAAACCAATTGATTGAAAGCCTTCTCTGCATCAGTTGGGCAAGAGCAGTGAGATAGTTTTCAATCTAGTATACCCTGAAAACCCATCTCTTCAGGGAAGCCTACCTCACCCCCTGCTAACTTGCTGACCTCCTCCACTCTTCCTACCACTCCATCCCCCACAGCTATCTCCTCCTGTACCACCATCCCCTCCCTCCTAGATTGTAAGCTCGAAAGAGCAGGGCCCTCAATACCCTCATGTTTTGCATTGTATTGGTATTGTTCTGTCACATGTTCTGTCCCCCTTTGTAATGTACAGCGCTGAGTGAACTATTGGCGCTTTATAAATACTGTATAATAATAATAATGATAATAGTATAAGCGATCATATATTTTTTGTATTTTTCACTTTCTGAAGTTCTTAGGCTGGCCATGTGACATTGCAGGATCCTTTTCACCATTTTTCAAGGGTGGGCATTTTTTACTAATGCTGTGATGACATCAGTACCACTGTCTGCAGCAGTTCAGTGTTTAAAGATTGCTTTGACACTCTGCAGTCACAGCATTGTATTCAGTGTTTTGGTTGAGTGAGGCTGGGTGTCATTAAACCCAGAAGACTGAGGATATCTTGTGACCAAGAAGAAGTACCGTATTTGCCGGCGTATAAGACGACTTTTTGACCCTTGAAAATCTTCTCAAAAGTCGGGGGTCGTCTTATACGCCGGTACACATGTTAGGGGGGCTGCGGCATTAAGTACAGGGGTTTGCAGGGGCTGATGTCTCTTACCTGGATCCAGTCCCACGATGATCCGGTCCAGGAAGCGCGGCGTCTCCTTCAGTTCGGCCACTGGCTTCGTCGGCTGCCGGCTCCGCCCCCTCACCGGTGATTGGCCGCCAGAACTGTAGCTCAGGAAAGGCACACAGGCGGCCAATCACCGGCGAGGGGGCGGAGCCGAGCGGCCCCGCGAAAATTGAGTGCCGGAGCAGCAGGTAAGTGTTCTGTGTAGAGGTGCTGCTGCAACCACATATGCTGGCTGCAGCAGCACCATACGAGAACAGGGTCAGCAAGTCTCAGTGGGAGGAATAGTGCCCCATCATTGGTGTCACTGATACCAATGATGGGGACTATTCCTCCCACTGATGATGGGGCACTATTCCTCCCACCCCCCACTGACACCAACGATGGGGCACTATTCCCTCCCCCCCCACTGACACCAACGATGGGGCACTATTCCCCCCCCCACTGACACCAACGATGGGGCACTATTCCCCCCCCCACTGACCCCAACGATGGGGCACTATTCCCCCCCCCACTGACACCAACGATGGGGCACTATTCCACCCCCCACTGACACCAATGATGGGGCACTATTCCACCCCTCACTGACACCAATGATGGGACACCATTCCTCCCACTGACATCAATGATGGGGCACTATTCCTCCCACTGACACCAATGATGGGGCACTATTCCTCCCACTGATACCAATGATGGGGCACCATTCCTGCCACTGATACCAATGATGGGGCACCTATTCCCCCCACTGATACCAATGATGGGGCACTATTCCTCCCACTGATACCAATGATGGGGCACTATTCCTGCCACTGATACCAATGATGGGGCACTATTCCTCCCACTGACATCAATGATGGGGCACTATTCCTCCAACTGACATCAATGATGGGGCACTATTCCTCCCACTGATACCAATGATGGGGCACCATTCCTGCCACTGATACCAATGATGGGGCACCTATTCCCCCCACTGATACCAATGATGGGGCACTATTCCTCCCACTGATACCAATGATGGGGCACTATTCCTGCCACTGATACCAATGATGGGGCACTATTCCTCCCACTGACACCAATGATGGAGCACTATTCCTCCACTGATACTAATGATAGGGCACTATTCCTGCCACTAATGCCAATGATGGGGCACTATTCCTGCCACTAATACCAATGATGGGGCACTATTCCTCCCACTGACATCAATGATGGGGCACTATTCCTCCCACTGGTGTGCATTGGAAGAGGGGTAGTCTTATACGGCGAGTATAGCCCAAACACTACGTTTTAGCAGGAAAAGTAGGGGGGTCGTCTTATACGCCCAGTCGTCTTATACGCCGGCAAATACGGTACTTCTACTTTTTGGTGTTTTATTGCTAAATTGCATAATGCACATGTATGCGGTAAACATTTAAAGGATAAGTTCGCCTTTGTGAACATGTTATATGTTACACCAGCCTTTTTCAACCTGGGTGCCTTTAAGTTTCTTCAGGGGTACCTTGGCAAAATGGCCAGAAATGTTATACAAGCCAGCAGGTGAGTCAAGCTTGCCTTTTAGCTACACAAAGCCACAGGTTTTCATTGTGCACCAATACAGCTTTCTAGCCACTGATGACATAAAAAACCAAAGATGTCATCAGTTGATAATGAGGGCACCTGCACAGCATCCTTGCTTGCCCCCACTCCTCTCCATCAGCACTGGGGTCACATTAGCCGAATGAGTGGAAAAAACTGGGGGAGAAGAGAAACAATATAATACTAGTTTGTACTAGTGTTCAAAGGTGTTTTTGCTTTCAAAGAATAAATCACTTCTGATGTTGGGTGTCCTATATGTGCAGATGTTGCTGCGTTCTGTAAAATTATTGGTTTAGTTTTTTACATTTTGTAATGGGTGCCTTAAGATTGTACAGAATTTTAAAAGGTGCCTTGACTGAAAAAAAGGTTGAGAAACACCATATTTAGGGTGTAGCATGTTGAGCATCTGCTTAATCTCCCCTTCCCTGTGACAGCGGGCCGGGGATCTCCTCTCAGCACCTGCTGTCAAAATTCAAAAAGATCACGGCCGTATGCGTGCTCCCATAGGAAGTGACTTTCTATGCCTATGGGAGCACTCACTGAAGAGAAAGCGATGAACAGCGGTGGGGAACCCCAGAAGAGGTGCTCCATTGTACAGAGCAGGTAAGTATAACATGTTTGTTACTTTTTTAGGGAAAATAAGAAGCTTTAATATCACTTTAAAGAGGGGCTCCAGTTTCCTATATAAAAATTAAAAGCAGCTACAGAACTATAGCTGCTGACTTTTAATGAACAGCCACTCACCTGTCCTACATATTAGCGCTGTGTTTGGTCCAGCCATTTTCACTCTGTGTGTCTCTCTCCCCCGCGACGGCATTTTTTACTATGGGCACCCGGCTGTGACAGCTTACGGATTCACAGCCGGGTACCCACTTGCACATGCACGAGTGGTGCTGTGCACTGTGAATGGTGTGGCTGCCTTCTGGGACCTGTCACGTGTCCCAGAAGACTGCGGTTGGGGGAAGAACTTTTGCTTCTGATCGCCTAGGAGGTCAGAGCAGAAATGGGAGCAGATACCTGTCAAAATCGGGTATCTGCTCCCCAAATCTGCCCCAAAAACTCCATTTCACAAACAGGAGCTGGAGAGGAGGCCTTAAAGTGCTTTAAAAGATAAGTTCACATTTCATTACATGTTACACCCATATTCAGGGTGTAATGTAACATGTTATGAATACACCAGGTGCTGTTTTGACAGCTAGTTGGGGGATCTTCTCTCCTCTTGCTAGCTGTCAAATTTAAAAAAAACGCGGTCAAGGGGGTCTAATTGTTTTCTTTAATTCAGCCTGCTGGCAAAATTAAAAGAAAACTAATCACCCTGGCCAGTTTAAAGTGCTCACCTTTACAGAAAAAAATGTGACCCTGCTGACCAATCTGAATCCATTTTATCCCTCTTTGGTAGCACTAATGGAGAAGAGGGAAAAGAGCTGGAATTTTGAATCCTTGGACCTCTTGAGCTGCTGCAGGGGTGCTGACAGCTTGGCAAACCCACAGGTAATTATAGCAGAAACTAGAGAGTGGGGAGGATGTCTGTTATTCACCTTCACATTTTTTCTGTAAAGGTGAGCTAACCCTTTAAGCCTGTTCATCTTCTTATTTTGAATTATTGCAGGATATAATATCTGGTCCTGGCAAACTCTTTTATATTAAGACAAGCTTAAAATTCTAGCTACTGTATATTATAGCTATGTTTGTACCTTTTTGTTTTAGGATTTGCGAAGCAGCATCAAGCAGCATGTTGGACCTTCACTACAGTCTGTACTGCAGAATCTGGGGGAAATCCAGAACAGCAAGGAGCGAGCTAAAACTTTATTCAAATGGTTGATTTCTCCCATTAAGCCCAAGGAATTTTTCAGGTAAGCCTGTTTTACTGTGACCACCTTCGAAACGTAAGTGTCGAAGCAGTTTTTTTTAAAAATAGCACAGTATTTTGAAAGCTGCTGTGAGATTGAAAGGTTTTGTGCAATTGAGCTGAGGTACAGCTTTATTTCTTGTTCAGGCTAACTAGACACAGAATATTTTGATATAACTTTTTGTTGAAATCATTGATTGTTATGTACCTACAGTATTTCTTAATCATACAGGACACAGGCTTTTGTTAATCAAGACCTGCTACCTCCAGGTGAGGACATTGGCAAGCAATTTTTTTTGGCCAGCTCATATAAACCCCTCCACTCTTTGCAATCCTTTTTTTTTTTTTTTGCTGTTGTGGTGGATGACCTCTCTCTTCTTGGAGTAGCTTTGTGGTATATGATTAGTGATTCTGCTCGAAAGACTAAGATGTGCTGATCTTCATACTGAGAATGTTTGTTTTTTTTTCTCAACCCATCTGCATCTACAGATACTGCAGCTACTTCCTGCAATATCTGAATTGGTGCCTCTCTGCAGTCAGGGCTGCATGTAATGGCTACTTCAGGGACACTGGCTTTGATAGCTGTCGTAGCTTAAGTCCTGCATGGGAAGTGTCCAGTACTTTTTCCAGTCTAGGCCAGATCAGCACTTGGCCTTAAGCTTCCTTGAAGGGTCAAATTTTGGCCTTTACTATCCCTTTTCAGATACCTCTGGCTGCTCATGTGCTGGTAAAGGCCTTTATTCAGAGAGTGGCTCACATAGCATGCCCCCCCCCCCCCCAGTTTGTTCACCAGTCTCGCCATGGGATTTTAAAAAGTTCCTGTCAGCTCTACAAAAGCCTTCCTATTGAGCCCAATAAGGATATTCCCTTGGCCAACCTTACTCTTAAGGCAAGTTTTCATGTCAGTGAGACTGGTCAGGAAGCTGGTGCCCTTTTCTTGTAGAACCCTTCCGTGTTCTTCATAGGCACAAGGTGGTTTTGAGGCTTCGGGGTTCCTGTGTCTCCAAGATGGATTCTCCCTCCTCAGGACATCATCCCACCTCTATTTCCAGCTACAAAGCATCCACAAAAGATTTCTCTTTCCTGTGGATTACATAGTTCCATAGTTGGTAAGATTGAATAAAGACAACAGTCCATCCAGTTCAATCTATGTGGTGGGGTGTGTGTGTGCTCGTGTCAAAAATCATATCACGTATCCCTGTATATTGGGATATGAACAGTTCTGGCAGTTGTGGCTGCAATCTTTCTAGCTCTACCTGTACTTCGCTTGGTAGCAAGAAATTCCCGAAATGCACACTTCTTAATAAGGGATTGAAAAGTACTGACTGGCATATTCAAGGCTTTGGTTATCTTTTTATATCCTTTTCCATCTTTATATAGTTCCATTACCTTGTTACGCAGGTGTTTTGACAGTTCTTTTCTGCTCCCCGTGGCTCAGTATCTAGCCTGCTTAGTGCATCCATGTGAGAGCTAACAAACACATTGGCTATTTATACACAGACACTAATTGCAATTTATGAAGCCACAGATGTAGGAAGTTAACCTTTAATTGCCATTTTAACCTGTGTGTCACCTTGTGTTTGTACCATGGCCAAACATTCCAGGGTTTGCAAACAGTGGATCAGGGCCATTTGGGTGATTTATGTTTATCATCATGATTTAAAACAGAGCCAAACAACTATGTGATAATAACGGCTTCATATGATATCGCTATCCTTAAATAAAAAGATAGTATTTTGGCATGATCAGTCATATTTTCAATATCAATCCCAAAATTCAAAATTTTACGATTTCTCCCAGAAACGTTTCAGCACAACTGTATGCGTTACCCAGTTAAGAAGAGGTTAAAATAGAAATATAGGCAAAACCTTTTTTTTTTTTTTTAATTTTATTTTGGATAGAGTAAGGAAGGATTATAACCCCTGTCAGTTTTTTTTTTCCGCCATTGTGTCCCATTGCGATTTACCTTCACTTCCTGTCCCATAGCCAAAAAAGAAGTGAGAGAAAATCCCTGCAAATTAAGGGAATTCCTTGGGGACCCCCAGGTCACCAGAGCTAGTGTCCCCATTGGAAGATTACTTCTTTGGGGACGACCCAAAATTTGGGATTTTCTTTTACTTTCACTTTCAATGACAAGGGTAAACAGGCCGAATAGAGAGGGTGAACCTCTCTAATGGGGTCACAAACAACAATAAAAATCTGACAGGTGTTCTAATCCCTCTAGCAATGTGTACATACAAACATACATATTTGACCATTACCTTCACTACATACACTCTGATTCTTCCTTAGTGTTGCTTTCCAGTGGTTGTTTCTTGCTGATCCTCTTTTCTCTACAGTTCTAGCAGACAAGATCTGTCTGATCGAGAGCTTGTGACTCTCTGCAGTATCTGACATTCTAAAAGACCTACTCTGGACATTTGTTTTACAATTTGATAGTGATGAACTGTTTTTAATTTTTGTCAACTTTTTTTAGAGTAAAAGTTTTATTAAGGTTTTAGAAGTTTCTGAGCGTGCATTCAACTATAATCATATACAAAAGCTATCATACAGAATATAACTTGAGATTGAAAAATCTCGCATAGAAATCAGCTTGCAGGTTTTATTGACAAAACTAAATTGAACAAGCTGAAGTTAGAAGCTGATTGGCTACTGTGACAGACCCAACCAAGACAGGGGCTTTTGGAGGGGACTAGGGGCTAGCCTTCTACCCACTGAAAATGGCCCATGGAGGAGACCAGGGATTTTGTCTTTTTCTCCTGATCAGAGCATGGAAAACAGCTCAGTTCAGCCTCTGATCCCATGGAGAGAGAAGATCATTCTCTATGATGGACACCAACATGATTAACTCTGAGAGCGAGGCTTGTATTAATTCTCTGAAAAAGACAATAAAGCTTCCTTTCTGGAGTGGATGGAATGGTGTAATATTAAGCTTGTACAGGTTAATAGAAGAAATATGGTGCGCCCCCTCCCCCGCAGACTGGGATTTGAGAAGCTCCTCCACTTGGGACAGAAATATTTATCAACAATCTTCCTCCCTGTGTAATGTACTTTGTGTATCCAGGGGTGGGCTTGTTGCTGACTGTCTGCAGTGGACTCCCTAATTAATCAAAGCTTTGGCTGGGTGCTTGGCTGTTAGCTTACTGTTAATTAGGTCAATGTTCCCTGCTAGCTTTTAATTAGAATACTGTTTGATTAGATCACTGTTCGATGTTAGTTGCTAGCTGTTGATTAGCTTACTGTTATTTAGATCACTGTTAGCTGTTGGCTGTTCATTAGATGTTCTGATGATATTACTGATTACAGTTTGCATTGTTTAGGATCATGTGATCAAGCTCTTACCTGATTTTGTGTGGTCTAAATTCTGTGTGAATTGACAGTAAAGAGAGTTCCAGTTTGCACCTAAGCTAGTGTTGTCTAGTTCTTGGATGCAATTCCCAGCTGTAATTCCTTTGTTCCAGTGGCGAGGAAGCAGCTCTCTGACGGAAGTTCCCAGGTGGGGTGTAAGGCGATTCGTCACAGCTACCATGCATAATGGCACCAAATTTTGCACTCTCCAGTTTCAGTAAATCAGTTCTATTATATTGTTCGACCTAATCTTGCGCTGGTGATACTACTAAGAAAATTAAATAAGCTAATGAGTCTCTTGACAGTACCCTAATAGTCATATTCCTTCAATGCATTCATGTACTTGATTTAACGGCAATCTACCAACTTGCCTCCCAACTAATAAAAGGTATTGAGAATGCCTTTATTTGACAGACCTCAGGGAAGAAAAAAAGAGAGGTAGCCAAGAAAGGCTAAAAGATCGTATTCAGAGAGCAGTGGTTAATGATTCATACTCTGAATGGTCTAGGATTGTTAGTGGTATACCCTAAGGTTCAGTGTTTCCTCCTGTACCACTATCCCCTCCCTCCTAGATTGTAAGCTCCAAGGAGCAGGGCCCCCGAACCCCTCGTGTATTGAATTGTATTGTTACTGTACTGTCTCGTGTACTGTCTCCCATTATAATGTACAGCGCTGAGCAAACTGTTGGCGCTATATAAATCCTGTATAATAATAATCTGGGAGTTCTGGTAGATCATAAGCTTAATAGTGGCATGCAATGCCAAGCTGCGGTTTCTAAACCAAGCAAATTCCTCTCTTGTATTAAACGAGGTATAGACTCCAGAGAGAGAGAGATATCATTTTACCCCTGTACAAATCATTAGTAAAACCTCATGTGGAATATGCAGTTCAATGTTAGGCACCAATTCACAAAAAATAACATTGGGGAACTGGAGAAAATACATAGAAGGGCAACCAAACTGATAAGGCATGGAGGAGCTCAGCTATGAGGAAAGATAAGAGGAACTGAATTTATTCTCTCCTGAGAAGAGGAGATTAAGGGGGATATGATCCACATGTATAAATACATCAGTGGTTCCTATAGTGAACTCAGTGCAGTTATTCACCCAAAGGTCATCAGAAAGGACAAGGGGGCACTCTTTACGTCTAGAGGAAAAGAAATGTAATCTTCAAATACGGAAAGGTTTCTTCACAGTGAGAGCTGTGAAAATGTGGAATAGACTTCAAGAGTTGGATCTGGCTAGCTCAGTGGCTTGCTTTAAAAAGGTCTGGATTCTTTCTTGGATACACAGAATATAACTGGTTACTAACATTTATAGGTAAAGTTGATCCAGGGAATATCCGATTGGCTCTCGGGGGGGATCAGGAAGGAGTTTTTTCCCCTCATGGATCATGCTTTGCTGGGTTTTTTGCCTTCCTCTGGATCAACTGTGGGTGTAAGATTATAATTTTTTTTTTTTTTTTTTTTATGGTTGAACTGGGTGGACTTTTGTTTTTTTTCAGCCATACTAACTATGTAAGAGAGGCAGGAAGGAGGGTGAGGGAGAAGGGTGCCTGGATGGGGACTATAGGAATCCTCTGTAATGTAGCAAGATTTTGCTTTGGAAGCTTCACAAATTGGAAGTTTAGATGTGTGCCTACTGTCTGCTATCCTATCAAAAAGTGACCACATTAGGAATGAGAGCACAGTGTGGTCCCTGTCCTGGCTGTGCTGGAAGTCTGTTCTCCTCAAATGATTAATAACGCCCCGCCCGCACAGCCGTTTCTGTTTCTCCACCCTCGCCTCTCTGTGCAGCTGAGAACACGGGGTATGTAATTACTTATAAAAAAAGGAAATGAGGGAAAAGTATTTATAATGTGTTTTATAGGGTTTACATATACTTTAAAGTACAACTATCTCACAATTTTCTTTTCATTTTTGGATAAAGTAGAGATGGTTTAGAATACCTGAAAGTTTTTATTGCTGTCTGTGGTCCCGTTATAGAGATTCACTCTCTATTTGTCCTGTTTACCATTACCATTGAAAGTGAAAGTGAAAAAAAATCCCACATTTTGAGTTGTCCCAAGAGAAGTAATAGAGGGGAAATCTTCCAGTGGGGACACTACTGGTGAATTGGTGGTCCCCAAGGGATTCCCTTAATTTGCAGGGATTTCTCCTCACTTCCTTTTTTGGCTATGGGACAGGAAATTAAGGGACATCTCTCCAATGGGACACAGTTAGCAAAAAATGAACTGACAAGGGTTGTAACCCTCCCTTACTCTGTCCAAAAATGCCTATAATTCTACTTTAAGGCTAGCTGTTAGTTCTTCCTTTCTCATGATGTAGTGAGGTTCCTCTACCCATTCTTTGATATTGGGGGCCGTGGCCATTCTCCAGTTTCTGTTATTTCAGAGCTTTCCCAGCTTTTTATTGTTGTTTCCCCTTTTGGCAATTTCATCTTGTTTAGGGGGTGTAATATCATGAAGAGAGGCGAGATCTCCCCAGTTTGACTGTATGGCAAGTTTTTTAGACAGAACAAAAAGTGAAGAGAAATCGGCTCCAAAGAGACTGACAGAAGTTGCAAAATGTAGCAGTGTTTAGTAGAATGCAAGACTCGCTTTCACTTTCTGTTTAGATCAGTGGTCTCTAAACTGCGGCTTAGGGGCGGGATATGGCCCCTTGCTTGCTTTTATCAGACCCTTTGGACACTATTTCTGCCACTGATACAAGGCACTGTTCCTTCCACTATGTCAGGGCAGGAGCGATGGAATGGGCAGGCAGGCCCATGATAAGGTCATGCAGCGACGGACGACAGCCACTACCCACAGACCAGAGTCCCTCAGGGCGTGGAGTCTAAGCCCCAGGCTGCCCTTCACCAGGGCCCTTGATGGTGGGGATGGATTTGACGCAGACTGAGACCAGGTCGCGGCCCCCGAGAAACCTCAGCTGCGGTAACGACTGCCGCCAAGGGCGTACAGCTGGTGGGAGCTAAACGTGTAGCGTGGTCAGACAGGCCGGGTCTATAACAACGGAGCAGACAGTACAAGACGGTAGGCAAAGAATACTCAGGTCACGAGCCGGGTTCAGCAACGGGAGGTCAGGTAAAGGGTTAAAGCAGAGAATAGTCTTGTCCAAGCCGAGTCGGTTACCAGGAGAGCAATGAGAACAGAAGAAGAGCTTGCTGCAAGGGAACATACAGGACACGAATGCAAAGAGCAAGTGCAGACAACAGGCTTAAATGTGATCAACCACGCCCCTCTGGGGGATGGACCGCAGAGGCCTGAAAGCATAAAAGGCTCCCACCATGCTTTGCAGAAACCTAAGATGGATGCCAGCACATAGAACAGCATAACCTCTGGGGAAAGGTAGGACCTTGACACAGTGACACCCCCAATGAGGCATAATTCCTGTCACAAATACCAACGATAGGGCGCTATTCCTACAACTGACCCCATCATAAGGACATTATTCTTCCAACTGACACCAACAGCAGGGCACTATTCTTCCCACTGACACCAATGATGGGGCACAATTTCTTCCCCTAATACCAACAAAGGGGCAATATTCCTCCAACTAATGCCAATGATAGGGTATGGTTTACTCCCATTGATGCCAGGGCCTATTCTACTCACAATGGCCACGGTGTGGCCCCCTCAAAGTGTGAAAGACAGTAAACTGGTGCTTTGTTCACAAAGTTTGGAGAACCCTGGTTTAGATGACAGGAGTCAAGCCAAAAAGGAAAAGAGGAGAAATATTTTGCATGGGAACACAAACAACAATTTTTTGCCTTTTTGGTATCCCAGACAACATTTCAAATATGACAGTAGTTCTCTTTCCCGCTCTGTCAGGATTTAAAAGCCTTGGTTGGTATTAGGCTTTATGCTTACCATAAAGACTACAAAAAGGTGTGATGTTCATACAAGAGTCAGCCATTTCATAATGTGTCCTAGACCAGTTTCTGTTCTGAAGGAGGGAATCTTACCTGTTCTGAAAGAAAATTTGAACCTTCCAGTTCTGACCTTATTATGAAAATACTGGTTGCTGTCTCTGGCTTTAGTACTTTCTGGTTGGACGACCCTGAACAAGAATGCAGATCAAGAAAGTCAATACCATGTAACCTTTACCTAGGTCACATGAAGGAGCTCAAGAGCTGCAGTTATAGAGGCAATTTTTTTTTCACTCAGAATAATAGTATAACTTGGTTATAATAAAAGTTTCTTTTAAAACCTGTGAAGTGAAATTTTACAAATAGGTCTGCTTTAATTTAATGTTTGTTTACATTTTAATGGTTTATGATTATGCTTGTTATGCATGGTTGGCTGAAATCCTTAACCTTTGTATTTTTAATTTTTCTTTGTAGGAATATTTGGGAGAAGAAACCTGCTCTAATTAGACGACACAACAGCAAATACTATGATGGATTTTTTTCTATTTCAGAATTTGACCGCATTCTTAGAGAAGTAAGAGCTCAAAAAATATTGTGCTACGGTCAGTGTGTGTTGTTTTGTAATAAAAGTCGCTTGTTAAAATATAACAGGTAAATTATACTATATAATTGTTTCTTTTGTAAATGGTCATTTAACGTTTTTTTGAAAACTGTAGTATATGTTCTGTGTGCATAATTGAGCTTTTATTTACCTTAAAGGATAAGTTCACCTTTTCATAACATGCTACATGTTACACCCATATGCAGAGTGTAACATGTTACAAAACAAGCAGCCCCCTCCCCTCTCCCCGCTCACACGGTCACAATTAAAAAAAAACATGTCCACGAGGGGCTCCACCCACCCAGCCACATCATCATTCATTCACAGAGTTCTATGAATGAGAAAATTACAACTACCATTAGCCATTGCAGCTGACGGTTTGTAGTTCTCAATGAACTACTGGGCCACTGGTGAGTGCTCTAGTGGTTCATTGATTCTTCTTGTCATTCAGTAACTGCCTGCCTATACAAGGTACAGGCAGACGGCTACACTGACTGTCTGCAGAAGCCTGGGATTGCACCCATGATTGTACAATGTGTTACAGGTCCCTAATAAAAAATAATTGCACTTTTTTTTTTACCTACAAAAATATGTGCATTTATTTTTTTAAAGATGAACTTATCTTTTAAATGCATATTATTTTGCAGGTAAAAAAAAAGTAAATTCTTTTTTTTTTTTTTTTTTTTTTTTTTCTTTTCACTGCAGTTCGTAAAGTATTGCAACCACAATGCAGTATCAGGCTCCTGCAAACACTCAATATAGCTGTATGCCCTTACATCCTATATGGGCAGACAGTAAGTGAAGTGTAGGAAGTGTCAATGAACTAAGAGAGCGCTCAGCAACACCTTTGCAGTTCATTGAGAACTGCAAGCCATGTGTCATGGTCACAGTGGACGGTACTTGTAATTCATTCAAGTTACATGTTTATAAGGTTGAAAAAAACAAGACACAGGTCCATCCAGTTAAACCTATGATTAACCCCTTAGGTTCCACATTGAGTATAACAAGCATGCTTTACTGCATATACAGACTGATTTTACTGTTGTGGGTTTAGTAACACTGTAATCATCCCTTAAAATAGCAAAGCACTAACCCTGACCGATTGTTACCTAACTTGAATTAATTTTTCCATTTATTGACTGGATTACCCACGGAAAAAAGCTCCCGCTGTACCTTTTTGTTCTAACTTTATTATTCCTGTAGTGTCTACCTGAGGGTAAAAATTCAAATAAGTGATAGCCAGGATGAAATGGATCTCTTTTTATTTTCTAAACTCTTACAAGACAGTGAGATTCATACATTTCTACTAGGGATGGGAGTTTACAACCCTCTATTTTCTGTGAGAATTATTTTCTGAAGAGTGTTTCTGTCAGTCGTGGTAGAATTTGGGTACCATACTAAGATACAGTATACCAGTATGCTCTTAATTGAAGAGCGATAGAAGATTGCAAATACTTTTTACCTTAGGGCATTCTTCCTAAGTAGTCTATGAAAGTATATTCTTTGCTGAGGTTTTTTAAAAAACGGCATTTACATTTAGTAATACTGAACGATTCTCAGAAATGTATAACCCTGGAAACTAAACGACAGAAACCATCTCAACACAATCACCCTTAATAAAGAGTGGAGGTATTTCAGTCTTTTTTTCTAAAGTCTTCAACTAGCTTTTCAGTTTTATGTGTTCATCCCCTCCATTAATGCAACCGACTACCATAGTATCACCAGCAAATTAAATAATGCTGTCTGTACGATAGTATGGTGTGCAGTCTTGTATAAACCATGTAAAGAGAAAACACAGTCCTGTGGAGAGCCAGCATTTAACTGTTGCTTTTGCATTCTAGTGAAATTACCCTTATGCTTCTAAAACATAGCTTAGACCTATTTATTGTCTTCTATAGAATTGAACATTTCTGAATTCTTAGAAATATCTTTTGACTTTTAGACATTTTACTAAACAAGGGTACTTTTTTGTAGTGCTTCATATTATCAATTTCTCTTATATGTTTCAATTCTAGGATAATGTGCAGTTTGGTGTAAACTTGGATGTCACCAGTTATACTGATGGAGTACGGGAAACCCACAATTCCCCTGGCAGAGCTCTGCCACTAGTTGTATGGGACTATTTCAAGGTAAACAAAAGCAGGAGGTAAAACATTTTTATTAACTTGTAAAACAGATGGCCGTTCCTCTGTACTCATATCAGACTCGAATGAGGTGTTTCTGAACCTTTCAAACAATTCACCAATTACTTCTCAAAAGACTTTCTTGATTTTCCTCCTGTTTATCTAAGCGGTTCATCATTGTCCTAAAACTTCCATCTCCTCTCTTCCCATTTCACTTTCTGTAAAGGTCACTGCAAATCTCTGAACTCTTCTTTTGGACCCACGTCCAATCCCTGTCCAGATCCTGTCATCTTCACCTCCCTTACAGTTTGAAAAATATGTCCCTTCATATCTAATGACACCACCAAGGTACTTATTCACTCCCCTGTTATCTATTGCCTTGACTATTGCAACTCCATGCTGCCAGACTTATTGACCTTACCAGTTGCTCTGTTTGCTACCCCTCACTACTAATCCCTCCAATGGCTTTTGCTTTTTTTAGCGGATAAAATTCAAAATACACTATACAAAAACCTCCAGAGCACTACACCAAGCTACATCAGCACTCGATTTGAACATTATTATTTTAAAGTATAATTAGGGATACACCTAAATTTTGGTGGCCGAAATGTGTCAGGCGTAAACATCCCTATCAGCCTTTGGCCGATATGAAAATAAGCACCGATGCAGGTGCAGAAAATAACCCCGCCCCTCGCTGCCCACCACCACTGCTCCTCACCACTGCCGCTGCTACTGCCCGCGCCGCCACTCTGTGGTTCTCAGCCTCACCTGAGAAACCACCAAACGATCCCGGCACTGGGCATAAAGATAAGTGAAGGAAAGATGACCTCCACTCATCTCTATGCCCTTGGAGGACTGGAGCGCGTTCTTAAAGCACTAGATCAATGCTTTTTTTGATATAATGCTTTACATTGTAGAGGAGAGATGTGGGGTCCTATTCACCTCATATCTCTATTACAAGGGATGCATGTATTTTTTGTGATAGGAATAAAAGTGATTGAAACGCATACGTAGGCCACACCCACATATCTAAACGGTGTTCAAACCACACATGTGAGGTATCGCCACGAACGTCAGAGCAAGAGCAATAATTCTAGCACTAAACCTCCTCTGTATCTTTACAATGGTAACCTGTAGAGAATTTTAAAGCATCACCCATTTTTAAGTACCATAGTTAGACGCCATTCCACGAGTGTGCGCAATTTTAAAGCATGACACATTGGGTATCTTTTTACTCGGCATAACATCATTATTCATATTTTACAAAAACATTGGGGTATATATATGGTGTTTTTTTTTTTTTTAGATGGCTATACCTGCAACATGGGCCAGCTTGAAGTTATGTAAAACATAAAAAAATATGTGCCTATACTCTTTAAAAATTTGGTAATACACTGTCTCACTCTGCTCTGCACATGCTCAGTTGCTCTCTATTTTTAAGCACTGTGCCCAATTTTTAGAGGCCAATCTGCTGACAGCCTAAAGATTTACTGCTGCTCAGGGCTTGGGCTTCTGCAAAATAGCAGCCTTCAGCAAGAAGAAACAGGAGCAATGCTTAAGGAAATATAAAGCACACACTAATTTTGGTAGCATAATTAATAATATGGAATGTATGTTCACTGCTAAAGAACATTGTTCTTTATGAAGTTGTTAATGGATAAAGATCCACTTTATAGTGGAACTTAAACTTATCGGTTTAAGGCTTAACTTTACCCATAACAGTTTAACAATTAAGTGTCTTTAACAAAAGAGCATACATTCCACATTGTGTGTGCTGTAAATTGTTCCTGTTTCTTGTTACTGAAGGCTGCCAGTTTGTTGAAGCCCAGAGAAGTCACTTCTTTATTGAGAACTCTTCCCCCTCTTCTTGGTCTCAAAAACTAAGGCATTGTACTTGTAAGTTCAACTCTTTTGTGTCCCCTTGCTAGCAGAATTTGTCCTGTCACCTCTCTTGCTTTTCTTTTCTCTCTCCCTAATATGTGTTCCCGCAGCACAGTCTGTTTCATTCTGTTGCTTCCCCAGCGCCCCCCCCCCCCCCCCCCCTCTCCCCACTAGCAACAGCAAATCTTAAAGCGGTCACCTGATCCACCTCTGGTGGCTCTGATTTAAGGCTCAGTGCAGAGCAAGATGAGACCGTACATTACTAGTTTTTAACCACTTGCCGACTGCAGATAACCGAAAGACGGCTACACTGAGGCCGGCCAGTTCTGGGAGGACGTCGTATGACGTCCTTCTAGAACTCGCCCTCCCATGCACCCGGCAAGGAAAGTGCAGCCGATAACCGGCAACTGCATTCACCGGTGATCTGCTGTGTAATGCGGATACAGCTGATCACGTGATGTGGTAAAAGGCCAATCACAGCGGCCTTTTACCACGTGATCAGCCATGTCCAATGACACAGCAGATCACCGGTGAATGCAGTTGCCGGTTATCAGCTGCACTTTCCACATGCTGTCACAGCGTGAGGAAAGTACAGCTGATAGCCGGCAATTGTCAGAGGATGGATCAGCACTGATCATCAGGGCACTGTTGAACAGTGCCACCCATCAGTGCCACCCACCTGTGCCCAGCAGTGCCAGCTCATCAGTGTCACCTAAGAGTGCTGCCTATCAGTGCATATAAGTGCCGCCTATCAGTGCCCATCATTGTTGCATATCAGTGCCGCCTATTAGTACCACCTCATCAATGCCACCTATCAGTGCCCATCAGTGCTGCCTATCAGTGCTGCCTATCAGTGCCCGTCAGTGCTGCCTATCAGTGCAGCCTCATCAACGCACATCAGTAAAGTCGAAAAATTACCTGCTTGCAAAATTTTATAATAGAAACAAAGAAAAACTTTTTTTTTCAAAAATTTGGCACTTTTTTGTTTATAGCGCAAAAAATAAAACACCCAGCGGCGATTACATACCACAAAAAGAAAGCTCTATTTGTGTGGAAAAAAATTATAAAAATTTCATATGGGTGCAGTGTTGCATGACCGCACAATTGTCATTCAAAAGTGCGACACCACTGAAAGCTGAAAACTGGCCTGGGCAGGAAGGGGGTATAAGTGCCTGGTAGGCAAGTGGTTAAACAGTATAAGCACTTACCGTATTTTTCGCTCCATAAGACGCACTTTTTTCCCCCAAAAAAAGGGGGGAAAATGTCAGTGCGTCTTATGGAGCGAATATATAAAGCGGCCGGTCCGGTATTTCTGCCGCACTACGGCAGAATACCGGGCCGGCCGCTCAGCTGTTCTCTCCTGCAGGGCCTTACCTGTTCCTCGCTCCAGCGCTGCACAGTCTTCCCGCGCTGGCTTCTGTGACAGCCGGGTGCCCACTGCGCATGTGCTGCGCTTTGTGAATGATCCGGTGTCTTCTGGGACACATGACAGGTCCCAGAAGGCTCGGGCCATTCACAAAGCGCAGCGCTTCTCGCGCATGCGCAGTGGGCACCCGGCTGTCACAGAAGCCGGCCCGGGAAGGACAACTCCGCAGAAGTGGGAGCAGTACCTGTCAAATTCAGGGAACTCCCCCTCCCTCCCCAAAAGTCTCTGGTCATCCCCTGCACTGTCTGCAGTCTCTGGTCAAGCAGTCTCTGGTCATTCCCTGCACTGTCTGGTACCTCCTGCACTGTCTGCAGTCTCTGGTCATTCCCTGCACTGTCTGCAGTCTCTGGTCATCTCCTGCACTGTCTGCAGTCTCTGGTCATCTCCTGCACTGTCTGCAGTCTCTGGTCATCCCTGCACTGTCTGCAGTCTCTGGTCATCTCCTGCACTGCACTGGTCATCTCCTGCACTGTGTCCGCAGTCTCTGGTCATCTCCCTCCGCAGTCTCTGGTCATCTCCTGCACTATGTCTGCAGTCTCTGGTCATCTCCTGCACTATGTCCGCAGTCTCTGGTCATCTCACTATGTCTGCAGTCTCTGGTCATCTCCTGCACTGTGTCCGCAGTCTCTGGTGTCTCCTGTACTGTGTCCGCAGTCTCTGGTCATCTCCTGTACTGTGTCCGCAGTCTCTGGTCATCTCCTGTACTATGTCGGCAGTCTCTGGTCATCTCCTGTACTGTGTCCGTAGTCTCTGGTCATCTCCTGTACTGTGTCCGTAGTCTCTGGTCATCTCCTGTACTGTGTCCGTAGTCTCTGGTCATCTCCTGTACTGTGTCCGAGTCTCTGGTCATCTCCTGTACTGTGTCCGTAGTCTCTGGTCATCTCCTGTACTGTGTCGTAGTCTCTGGTCATCTCCTGTACTGTGTCCGCAGTCTCTGGTCATCTCCTGTACTGTGTCCGCAGTCTCTGGTCATCTCCTGTACTGTGTCCGCAGTCTCTGGTCATCATCCTGTACTATGTCCGCAGTCTCTGGTCATCTCCTGTACTGTGTCCGCAGTCTCTGGTCATCCCCTGTACTGTCTGCAGTCTCTGGTCATCTCCTGTACTGTGTCTGCAGTCTCTGGTCATCTCCTGTAGCATGTCCGCAGTCTCTGGTCATCTCCTGTACTGTGTCCGCAGTCTGGTCATCTCCTGTACTGTGTCTGCAGTCTCTGGTCATCCCCTGTACTGTCTGCAGTCTCTGGTCATCTCCTGTACTGTGTCTGCAGTCTCTGGTCATCTCCTGTAGCATGTCCGCAGTCTCTGGTCATCTCCTGTACTGTGTCCGCAGTCTCTGGTCATCTCCTGTACTGTGTCCGCAGTCTCTGGTCATCTGCAGTACTGTGTCTGCAGTCCATTGGTTCAGAATATTTTTTTTTCTTGTTTTTCGCCTCTAAAACCTAGGTGCGTCTTATGGTCAGGTGCGTCTTATGGAGCGAAAAATACGGTAAATGTAATATTTTACATGGCTGTACCTGTAAAGGGGCCAGCCAGATGTGATCTAACAGGACTTAACTTTCTGACATTAGTTCTACTTTAACATATTTTGCTTCTAGTTTATGATTTTAATAAATAGTTCCACCAATATTGTGTGAGATAAAAAAGTGCAGTTACCACCATGTTACTTTCCAGGATGTCTGTTTTCTGGGGAAAAAAAAAAAACACACACACACTAAAATATCCATTTTAACATACATATGCAAACAAAAAGGAAATCAAACTAAAAATGTTTTACATATAAATAAAAATAGGGGACTGCTTATAATCTTAGGATATATTATGTGTTTTGTATTTTGATTATTCCTCTGTTCTTTATTGCACAGAATGGCTGTTCTTTGAGGTTATTAAATCCCCAGGCCTTCTCTGTCACAGTGTGGAATGTCTTGTCTATCCTCCAGGAGCTCTTTGGAAGCATGGTTGGAGCAAACACGTATGTACTTTTTTAATGTTTGAGGCAGATTGCATTGTTGTTATTTGATAGAATCTTGGGACTCATTAATGAGGTTCAGCAATACAGGGGTTTATTCACTGATTATGAGTTATCAAAGTTAGTGTGTGAATTTCAGCATGATGAGATAGTCCTTAATCAAAAGCCTTCAAGTATAAACAATATAATAAGTAATATTGTACTAATAATGAAGTATTAACCCCTAATGCTGCCTCCTGGCGGCAGTGACAGCTCAGTCCGTGTGCTGATGGCATGTAAAGGCATATATATTTATGTGTACACTCTTTACACATAACCTTAGGCGAAAACATGTGTGATGACTGAGCATTAAAGCCAACTTTTTTGCTGCCATCTATATGTGACATGTGGTCAGCAGGAGGTTAATAAAGAGTATTAATCACAGACTCAAAATGCTGTATTAGTGTTGAAATACTTAAATATTTTTTATTACTTTTTTTTGTGTTTCCTGCTGTTCATATTAGCCTGTGTGTGGAGGGGGAGGGGCTACTTGCTGCAGCTTGGCATTGCTGAGTTTGTGATCTACTAGGACCCCCAGATCCTTTTCCATCCTCAATTCCCACAGAGGCTCTTCTCCTAACGAGTACCTTGCATTCATATTGTTAGTTCCCAAGTGCATCGTTTTAAGTTTTTCAACATTAAACCTCATTTGCCATGTGTTTGCCCAAGCCTTTATTTTAGCAATGTCTTCTTGAATTTCCTATATCCTGTTGTGACGTTGTAAACTTGCTTAGCTTTGTATCGTCACCAAACACTGCAATTGAAGTATTTATTTCAACCTCTATATCGTTTATGAACAAGGTAAGCAGAATTGGTCGCAGGACAGAGCCAGTACCCCAAGTAAATACAGACTTCCAAGCTATAATAGCCATATAAAATGCTTAAATGCTCATTTAAACCCCAAAGGCTGTTCAACCTAAGGAACCTGATGTAATATGGGGGGACCCTGATCTAAAGACAATAAGTTCTGGAATTCCAAAAAAAAAGGTGAAAAAGGATTGGCAAACAAATTAAATCCTGGGGAGTTAATACCTATGCCTAACAAAATGGCACACTGATGATTGCTGATAATAGTATACAATAAATATTATGTGTTTTTTAATATTTATTTTGTTGATACGGATTAGCTGATTGAATCCCATATCAAACCCCAATCAAATTCATGATTATAATTGTTTAAATATAAATGAAATTGAAAAAAATGCTAAATAATTTTACAGTTTACTATTATAAGCATTTTAAATCCAAAAGGTGACCTGTTTAAGAACACCCTACAGGTTAAAAATAGCAGCTAAAAAATATTTTAAACCCTAGAAGTCCCAAAGCTGATCCTGGTTAAGGTTGTAAAGGTAAATCTTAATATTTAGGTTCATTTTAGTTTTATATATATATATATATATATATATATATATATATATATATATATATATATATACACATACAGACACTATTTTGCCAAACGTATTGGGACACCCCTCCAAATCATTGGATTCAGGTATTCCAATCACCTCCATGTTCTACAAACATTTGTGAAAGAATGGGTCGCTCTTGGGAGCTCAGTGAATTCAAGCGTGGTACCGTGATAGGTTGCCACCTGTGCAATGCAAAGCGCCGGATGCATTGTGTGAAGCACGCCGCCACTGGACTCTAGAGCAGTGGAGACGTGTTCTCTGGAGTGATGAATCACACTTCTCTGTCTGGCAATCTGATGGACGTGTCTGGGTTTGGCGTTTGCCAGGAGAACTGTACTTGCCTAACTGCATTGTGCCAAGTGTAAGGTTTGGTGGAGGGGGAATTATGGTGTGGGGCTGTTTTTAGTGGTTGGACTTGGCCCCTTAGTTCCAGTGAAGGGAACTCTTAAGGCATCAGCATACCAAAACATTTTAGACAGTTTCATGCTCCCAACTTTTTTGGGAACAGTTTGGGGATGGCCCCTTCCTGTTCCAACATGATTGCGCACCGGTGCACAAAGCAAGGTCCATAAAGACATGGATGAGTGAGTTTGGGGTGGAGAAACTTGACTGGCCTGCACAGAATCCTGACCTCAACCAGATAAAACACCTTTTGGATGAATTAGACATCAGTGCCTGATTGCACAAATGCGCTTCTGGAGGAATAGTCAAACATTCTCAGTTTGGGGGGAGTATGTCTTTCATATTGTTACTCTACAGTATATCCGCTTGTAATATTGAAAAGTATAATACACAAAGATACAAATTATACTTCTACATGCCAGTTTGACTTTTCTTCTTTCTTGGTCCAGGTATCTGACCCCTCCTGCCACTCAGGGTTTTGCACCCCATTATGATGACATTGAAGCCTTTATAGTTCAGCTGGAAGGCAAGAAGCACTGGAGAGTCTACAGTCCTAGGTTAGTGTGTAATATATTGCTGTTATTTACATTTTTTTTTTTTGGGGTATTTGTATACTTCAAATATATGTTTATGCCTTGTCTGTATAAAGCTGCTGTATTGGAAGAACAGTTTTTATATTAGCATTATTATTTGAAAATGAGCATCAGCAGTGGGGTATTATTGGAGGTGCAGGTAGTGTGGTCCGCTCCAGGTGCACACTCACTAGGGGTGCTGCGGGGTACCTTCAATTTTTTTTTTGTATAGCACAGTTCTGTGGTGCAACATAAATTATGACATGGTAGGCAGCTGCAGCACCCCCAGCTAGTCTTGTGCTGCTGTTTCAATGACAGCAGGAGATCAGAGTGAGATTAAGTCGCCTTCTGTGCTCTGCTCTTATGACAGAGTAGAAAGCAGGACTTCTCACTCTGATCTTCCACTAGTCATCTGGTAAGTTTAGGGGTGGGGGTTGTTGATCTCTGTTAAGGGTTTTGCACCTGGTGTCTGTACTGAGAAAAGCTGTATTGTGGGGAAGGGGGGTTTTACTGCTGGGGGTCTGTACTGGTGGCAGTGAATGGGGGGAGTGTCTGTACTTTGAGGTCTGTACTGGGGGGAGCCTGTATTAAGGACTTTGTGCTGGGGGGTCCATCTGTACTGAAGGGTCTGTGCTGGGGAACGTTCGTTTGTACTGAGTCTGTGCTTGGGGAAGGGGGGTCCATCTGTGCTGAGGGATCTTTGCTGTGGGTTTGGTCTGTGCTGAAAGTGAGGGAAGGGAGAATCTGTACTGAGGAGTGCTGGGAGGTTGATCTGTATTGATAGGTCTGTGCTGGAAGGGAAGTCACTACTTAGAGGTCCGTGTTGGGGAAGTCGGCCTGTGGTGGGAGGGGAGTCTGTACTCAGGGATTTGTGTTAGGGTGCTTAGTCTGTGCTGGATGGGAAACTTTACTGACGGGTTTTTACTGGGTAGGCTGGGAGGGGGTATTTAAGGATGTGCAGGGAGATTTGTACTGTGACAGATATGGGCTTTGAAGGAGGGGGGGTGATTTGTACTGAGAAGAGGGGGTAATTTTGGTTGTATTCTGTAAAGTGGCTGTGTGTTATGCTGGCCTGACCCCTGCACTATAGACAATGAGAGGAATTTCTCAAAACTGGAGAAGATATCATTTGAAGCAAGAAGATAGAAGTTGATCAGTTGCCATGCACAGCTGCTTTAGCTTCTGTCCAGTTTTGATAAATCCTCCACTGTGTTTTACAATGCATATCCTGACTACTGCTCACTAAGTACATTATATACTCCTAAAGGTCTTCTGTAAGGTAGGCTGTGTATAGAAAAGGTTACGTAATGGAACGGTTTCATTTTTCAAAAAATGAGCATGCTGAGGTTTATACAGTATGTGTCTGTTACGCTCCTTGTTTGTGGCTCTATCATTAAAGCAGACTTTGTGGGTAAAAGGACTGTAATGGCATATGCATGGTGAGTATAACGGGGAGGTTTTATTTAACTACTTTGCCCTTTGAAGCCCCTCCCACTGCTAGCCCAGTTTGACCATACCCAGAATTTGGTGCAGTACGTGCCACTTTATTTCCTCAGACCATTTTTTGGGGAAGGAGGGGGGGGTTGGTTGGTTAAAAAAAAATATATCAACCTTGGGTGCCAGGTGTGCTAGGTAGTTCGCAGAGTGTCAGTATGACTTGGGCTTGTGTGAAACAGAAGAAGCTGTTTTATTTATTTATTTTACCAACACAGCCCTAGTAGTGGATAATACTGTTCAGCGTCCTGGTAGACCAGAATTTAAAGGCCCCCTTTAGGTCTCACTTCTTGGTAGCCCCACCATGCAGTCTGTCAGACCATAGCTGTCTGGACTAAGCATGTGATCCTAGCTCCATCCTGACGGATGTTAAATAGTTACATATTTGGTAAGGTTGAATAAAGACAACAGCCCATCCAGTAAAACCTGAGTGTGTAGTATGTGTGTGTATGTATGTGGTATATGATTATATCACTGCCAATTCCCATATTCCTGTATATTGTGTTTGCTAAGGTGCCCATCTCAACGTTTTTTAAAAAAATCAAAACGTCTGGCTGAAACTACCAACTGTGGAAGGGAGTTTGGCATCCTTACTACTCTAACAGTAAAGAACTCCTTACGCAGTCTAACATTGAACCAGTTTTCATCCAACATCACTGATGGGCTGCGTGTCTTCTTAAGCAACTTGAGACTGACCAGTTTTCTGCCAATGATAGAATCGCTATTTGTAAATTGTGATCAAATCTCCTTTAAACTTCTCCCCACTTCATGCTTTTAAACATGCCTCTCTTCTGGAAAATGGGGGTGGTTCTTGCAGCTATTCACCTTCTGTCTCTAGGGGTCATGACACCTGTATCAAAGGAAGAATGTTTTCAGGAGTCGGGCCCATTCTGGATTTAAAAATCTCACCTTTTTTTTCACAGGAAATTGCCAGTTGGTCATTGCCTCCCTCATGGGATCTTTCTGGCGTCAGTAAATATTTGGGGATGCCTACTTGTAAATTCCCATCAGCACTATTTGCATGTTATGGTGGGCAATCAGCATTACCAGTTTGTGGCCTTCGCGTTAGCTTGTCCTCGACCCCTTTCCAGGGTTTTCACTAATGTCCTTGACTATGTATTAGCTCTGCTCTGTGCTCAAGGGATTTATGTTGTGAATTACCTGGACGATCTCTTGTTGAAGGATTGGTCCTCAACCTGCATAAGTCATTACTGGAACCATGTCACAGGTTAGAGTACCTGGGCCTGTCCAGGATCTTCATAACTCGGGACAAACTTCTCTCCCTCCGCTCTCATACCAGGTCCTTGGGGCCCAGGAGATTATGTTGCTTTGTGTCTGCATGATGAAAGTCTTGGGTCTAATTGTTGCCTCCTTTAAGGCAGTGTCATACAGCCAGTTTCACTGCAGCCTGTTGCAACTCAATATATCAGCTGCGTGGGACAAACAGACTTGGTATTTTGACCGCACTATGCATCTGAACTCCATGGCCAGACTCTCCCTGGCGTGGGGGATTTCTGACCAAGTGCTTGAGTCATGGAAGGCCTTTTCTATAAAGACTTAGAAGATTTTCACAATGTATGCCAGACCTTGATGCTCTTTCAGTGCAGGGGACTTTTTCATTGGAAGAAACCCATTTTCACAACAACATCCTAGAGCTCGGGGCAATTCAGTTGTCCTTTTATCACTGGACCCTTCAGTTGTTGGGGCACCTGATGAGAATTCAGTCAAAAAATACCATGGCCATGACCTACATCATCCATTAAATTGGCAGCAGAAGTCCTGCTGCTCAGAAGTGAGCTTGATTCACTCTAGAACTGCACATTCTGGCCCTGCTCACTACCCATATTCCTGGCATGGAAAACTGGTAGCATAACAAATTTTAAAGTACATTTGTTAATATTTTTGTGTGTGTGTGTTATTGTTGTACTTGTATGGGAGCACAACCCCAGTGAGTCACCAGGCTTTAATGGACAAAGCATTCTGTTTTGACATCAGTTTGAGATGCTTCTGAGATCATTCAGAATTCACTGCAGGTGCATTTGACCTTACATAGTTACATAGTTAGTCAGGAAAAAAAAGACACTAGTCCATCTAGTTCAACCAATAAAATAAAAAAAGCGCACACACACAAAAAGAAAACCTCCATATACATGTACACTGTTCTATAGCCATAATTGATCCAGAAGAAGGTAACCCCAATAAAGCATGATCAAATTTACTCCAGTGGGAAAAAAAATTAATACCTTGCCGATCCCCTATGAGACAATCCCTGGATCAACTACCCTGGTGTTATTATTTCTAAAAATTAGTATCCAGTTATATTTTGTGCATTTAGGAATGCATCCATATTTTTGCCCATAGCTTCTGGGAATATTACACTTCCCTATACAACTTAGCAGGAGATTCCTCCTCACTCTCTCAGCAGGAGAGGCAATAGGCTGCCAGAGAATTCATTCGAGTTTCGGGAATTCCCATCCTGTCAGCGAAGTCTGTTTCAGATTTGGAAGCCCCATTGTCAAATGATGAGTTTTATAGGGGCATTGATGTCCATGAAATCGGGCAAGGCCCCAAGACCTGATGGCTACACACTACCTTACTACAGACCTTTTGCAGATAAATTGGCCTCCAGGTTTACAGCAGCCTTTAAGTCCTTCCGGGAGGGTCATACAATTTCAGAAGCTTCTCTGCAGGCTCACGTCAAAGTGATACACAAAGAAGGGAAAGATCCAGCTCTTTGCCCCAGTTATCGTCCCATCTCTTTACTCAATGTGGATCTCAAAATATTTACTAAAATCTTGGCTTCCAGAATGTTACACCTCCTCCCCTCGCTAATACATCCCAACCAATCGGGATTTACTCCAGATAGGGAATGCAGAGACAATACACAACGCTGCAGTACACTACTCCCGCTCCACGCAGGTTCCACTGTTGCTCTTCTCCTGGCCCTTTCTCAGAGCTATTTTGGATCATATAGGCATGGGGATGGGAATGCTGCAATAGATCTTTGTGCTGTACGCAACTCTGTTGGCGAGGGTTAAAGTTAATGAGGTACTTTCAGATGCATTTCCCATTCTTAATGGGACCTGGCAGAGATATCCCCTATCACCTCTGATTTTTATTCTAACGATGGAACCCCTCTTGAGGACCATCAGAGCCAACCCAGATATCCGGGGTTTCCCTGTCAAGGGCACGGAACAGAAATTAGGTGCATATGCGGATAATTTGATCTTCTTTTGTGACCTCACCTGTTGTCTCTTTACCGTCGCTGATGCAGGAACTTCAACGCTATGAAACCCTCTTGAATTTCAAGATAAACTATTACAAATCAGAGGCTCTGGGAATCTATATACCACTCCCTTCAGCAGCAGATTGTGTCTCAGTTTCACTTTAAGTGGACTTCATCTCATGTAAGATACTTGGGAAGAAATATATTCCAGAGGACCTAAGACGAGTATTTGAACTTACCTTTACCCTTCTGGCACGAAAAATCTAATTAGATCTTCAACGATGGGACAGTGTTTATCTGGTTTGGTCGTATCAACATTCTAAGAATGAATATAATGCCAAGACTTAACTATTTACTTCAACCTCTACCAGTAAAACTCCCACCGGATTTCTGTAGGGGTTGAGATCTTCATTCCTGAAATTTTTTCTGGGCAGACAAACCAGCGTGTCTCTGGAGAAATATTCTCTGTCTACCTAAGGCAAGGGGAGGAGCCGGCTTCCTGGATCCCGTAAAATATCACGAAGCAGCACATTTTTCTAGGGTGGTCGATTGGTGTGTAACGCACAATGCACAGTTGTGGGTGCACGTGGAAAGGGTGACTGTAGACTTTCCCCTGGCTGTTTTTCCCTCGCACCCTACGTCTTTGTTACCTACAACGATTAGATAACACCCGTTGGTGGGATCAACACTCCAGGTGACCAAAACTATCTTTAAAAATTCTACTTTCTCTCCGCATCCAAGCCTTATGACACCCATAATAGGATCGACCGAATTTCCACCAGGGCTCCAAGACCCTCATTTCACATCTCTCCTAAAGAATGGACATGTTCGTTTATTGCATTTTTCTAGAAATCGCAGCTTGTTGACAGCTCATGAGATAGAGCAGACCTCACTCAATTAGATTTTTTAAGCAGGGCACAATTGGGAGCATACTTGCATTTGTTACCTGCTGAATTCACAACTCTGCAGGAACCTTCCTCATTCAAACGTACATGTATGGCAGTCGAGCCTCTACGGTACTCATTTTCTCATCTTTATGCCTCACTGAAAGCTTCTCATGCACCACAAGAACTCCCATTCCTACAACGCTGGGAAAGGGACCTGAATATGACTTTCTCACCAAAAATAGAAAAACAGAATTCTGCTCTGTGCTCATAAGGCCTCATTGGCTAGCAGGTACCAGGAGGGGAGGATACAAACGTCTTACTAGATGGTATAGGACACCAGAGGCATTGCATTGCATGTTCCCCCAGGTCTCAAATACTTGTTGGAGATGTAAGAATTCTGTGGGGTCTTTGCTTCACATATTTTTGGGAGTGCCCCAAGCTGAGAGATTTCTGGACTGTGGTGGAGCAGACAGTAGAGACTCTTACGGGAGTGTCTCATGGAGGAAACCCAGCAGCTTTTCTCCAACATGACACACCTCTTTCAAATAACCGCTATAAAAATGGCAAAAGCCTGCATCTCAGCATTATGGAAAAGTAATCCCCCTCCTAACAAAACACACTGGCTCGCCCGAATCAATAAGATTCAAGAGATGGAATATTTAATTATGATGCTTAAGAAGCAAGTAAATATTGAAAAATCTGTACCCCATACTTCATTTACAAAGACCAGACTGTGCTGGCCTCCCAACCAAGAAGAACAATTGCATTACTCTTCATGCTCCCTAGTGGGACAGTGGGATACAGGTGTAAAGTCAGGAGGATAGATGGATTTCTTTCTCTTAATCTCCCCCTTCTCGCTTTTTTTTTTTCTTCTTTCCCACTAATCTATCTACCTGCCTACTGTTCTCTCTTCCTTCCTCTGCTTATCCCTCCCCTTTCCTATTATCTAATCCCTCATGTTGTCTACCCATTTTCTACATTGACCTTTCCGCTCTGCTGTTGATTGTTGTTTCCCAATAACAAGCATGAAAAATTGAGATAGTATGTTTTCGGGATGTAGACAAATTGATCTGCTGACTTCCTATTTGCTGTACTTATTACAGCAGCACTTAGCACATGGTTTTGTACGGTTACTCATTTATATATCTTATGGTGTGCAATGTTTCATCTACATTCCATTCAACAGTATTTGTTGAAATATTGTGTCATGCTATTTCTTCAAAATAAAGAATTAAAAAAATTTTTTTTCGTGGCACCAGTTTAATTTGAGGTGCATAAAGGTGACACTTCATTCATGTCGTTGTGCTACCGTACAGTGACATGCAATCCCTTCCTATGCTTCAATAAAATGCAGCATGTCTGCATTTTATTGAAGCTCACTGCACTGCATCTCCAGGATGCCTTGCAGTGTGAACTGGTCCAATAGAAAACTATTTTTTTTGTGAGTCCTAGCAGTGACCTGCATTCATCCAGTCGGTGAAACACAGGTCAACACTGTATGTGTCAACAGGGCCTTAAAGTGGTTGTAATTCTCGACATGAAATATGAACAAAGCTTATAACTTTGTCATGTGTCTCAATCCAGGGAACAAATTGCCATTTCCTTCTTCTTTTTTCCTCTGTTATCAGCATGTCACTTCTGACAAATTTTCTTGACACCGAGAAAAAAGGTGACAAGGGAGGGTTCTCCAGCACACAGCCTGTGATTGACAGCCTCAATTCTTTCGCTGTGTAAAGGTGGGTGTCCCTTCCCTCCAATCAGCTCTCAGTAAGCTCTGTAGAGTGTAACTTCAGTTTGCTGCCCTCTGCTTTCTGAAATCTCAGACAAGCTGTACAAATAAATGGTTTTAAAGAGAGGGCTGTTGATACACAGGTACAGCTTATATAGGAGAATTTGTTTCATCTCTGGGTATCACCTGAGGCCAGTCACTTCATTAGGTATAGATAGGGGTTTACAACCACTTTAATACTCTTATATACAGTCCTGGAGTAATCTAATATTAATACATCTGCCAAAGTGATTTTAAGATACCTAGATATGTATGTGATACGTTGTTTATAACAAGAGTTATTTTGTTTTTTGATTGTAGGAATACATCGGAACAGCTTCCTCAGTTCTCAAGTGGTAAGGGAGTGACTGTGTCTGTAGAGTAGTAGTTTTGCTTTCCATACTTTCAGAGAGCTGTCCAGATTTATGTCTATCTCAACAGATTTTCTGTCTTCTTCTATCATTCCACAGTGCTGTAGTCCAGTCACAATTCTTTTCTTAAAGGAGAAGAATGTCCAAAGATTTTATGGCCATACTTCTCATGTGGGTCGCAGGAGTGCATTTATTTCTGCACTCCTGTGACCCAGCTTCAGTTGACAGTGGGCTAAAAAGGAAGGGCAGCTCAGTGAAGACCAAGAATTGCGCAATCAGCAGTCATGCGATCGCTCGGTTCTTGATCTTAGAGCTGGTGGGGACAGCTGAAGCATCGGATTGATGCTGCAGCCTCATAGGTGAGTATTCGTGTTTGTGTTTTTTTAATCTCATTCTTCTATTTCAACTAACCTGACTGGTTATCAGAAATATTTTATTTATTTATTACAGGTAATTATATAGCGCTTGAAAAAAGACACAAGCCCTTCTAGTTCAAATCTACTGCAATCTCATATCAATTGAAGTGATAGCTCTTTAGATTACTTTGTGAAATAAGCCCTGCTAATGTTATACTGTATGTGCTGCAATATATTACAGTTCAAGATGTGTTAAAATCAATTTCCAATTTATTTCATGTCACATTTAGATAATTAGCTGCCAGAGACAAGTTTTGTGTTCCTTCAGTTGTTCAATACCACATGCTTCAGAAAAAATCAACTATATTTTCTAAAAGGAGAGGGACAGTAGAACAAAATAATATTTGTAATTTTTTTATGTCCACATCAATTGGATTGTGCAAATATTATTTGAAAAATTATTTCCAAAATTCAATTGAGGTGCAAGTGGATCAATTTTTGGATGTTTTATATGTGCATAATTTATTATTTCACTTTTTATTGGTAGTTATATAATTATAGAATAGTTTTTAGCTCTGCACTTTTTGCACATTATTTTGGAATACTGGGTAAACAAACAAGTGTGTTTATTTTTTTACAGTGATCTGTTGGCTTTGTAGTTTTAGTATTTTAGGCAGCTGTAAAGCCTCCCTATCCCTTCTACATCTGTTTGGGTGCCGTAACTACACAGTTAAAGTGGAGCTCCACCCAAAAGGGGAAGTTCCACTTTTAAGGCTTCGCCCCCCTGCTTTCCATTAAGGATTGGCATTTTTGGGGGGGAGGGGGTGCTGAATTTTGACAGGTACCTGCTCCCACACTAAATCTGCCAGCACTGGGAACACAGAATGGCCTATGAACCCAACCAGTGTGAAGACACCGCTGGATCGAGGGACAGGTGAGTGTTTTTCAAAAGTCAGCAGCTACAGTTTTTGTAGCTGCTGACTTTTATTATTTTTTTGACTGGATCTCTGCTCTAAGTTTAAAAAAGCAAAAAAAAAAGGTTTAATAAGATAAGGAATACATTGGAACAGCTTCCTCAGTTCTCAAGTGGTAAGCAAGTGACTGTCTGTAGAGTAATAGTTATGCTTTATATACTTTCAGAGAGCTGTCCAGATTTATGCCTATCTCAACAAATTTTTTCGTTTGCACTTATTTCTGCACTCCTGTGACCTAGGTTCAGTCGACAGAGGGCTAAAAAGGAGGGGCAGAACAGAGAGCATGTGTGAGGCAGAATTCAGCTACTTTATTATTGATCAGTAATAAGTAATAAATGTTAACACTGCATATTTCAGGCGGTTTCCATAAAGCACCAATCAGAATACAGTAAAGAGATTTCAGTAAACTACTCTATGGCTAGTCATAACAAAAAAGCAACAGAGTAGTGACTTCTGCAATTTCTCAGAAAAGAAATGTGTGCATAGATAACAGCATTTCAATCTTGTATGAAAAATAAACCAGTTAGTAGGCACCAAGCAAACGGTTAACTATTAACCCTTTCAGTGACTGAAAGTCACCACTCTATGCTCAGTGAAGACCGAGAATTGTGCAAACAGCAGTCATGTGATCGCTCTGTTCTTGATCTTAGAGCTGGTGGGGAGAGCTACTCGCTACGCTTGCATGTGCAGTGGGCACCCGGCTGTGAAGCCGCAAACTGTCACAGCTGGGTGCCCACACTGAATATAACGGCTCTGGGGACACAGGATGGCCGGAGAACCCGACCAGTGTGAGGACACCGCTGTATGGAGGGACAGGTGAGTGTCCGTTTTTCAAAAGTCAGCAGCTACAGTTTTTGTAGGTGCTGACTTTTATTCATTTATTTTTTTGACTGGACCTCTGCTTTTAAGTTTAAAAAAGCAAAAAAAAAAAAAAAATGTTTAATAAGATAAGTTATGTGCAAAGGTAAGATAAAAAAAAAAAAAAAACTTCCTGTCCAGGAGAAAACAAAGATTACTACTAGTGGCTATAGTGGCCGGCAGTAATCATATGTGAAAAATGCTGGTTAATTGATGGATCAACTTGGGTACAATCAGCCTGGCCATACCTGGATCGTAATTTGTCCGTTCCCTGCTGAACCTGCCGAATTTCCATCCATGTATGGCTGGCTTAAGTTCAATAGAGATGGCCAAAAGAACCAGATTGGTTTTTACCTGCTCTCCAGCACTCACTAGAGACATGGCCAGAACTAATGTAACCCCGAAGGCACTGTATACCACTTAACTATAGGCCTATAATTGAACCCCTCAATTTTTTATATTAGTCCACGAAATGTAGGCTGGAGCTACTAATTTGTTCTAATGATCCCAAAGAGCTGTACCGCTAGTTGTCTCTCACTTAGGGCATCTTGGCAGAGCAGGGAATTTCGAGTGAGAATAAGGTTTTTTTTTTTTTTATAAAAGCTAGAGAACAATTTGTTGGTTCCCTATAATAAGGGCCTTCAGACGCATTCAAGTCATTCAGTAAGCCCAAAGCCTAAGAGAGGGAATCACAAAAATGCTTAATTTGGCCAAACGTCCAGAAGTCAAGCAGATTTGATCTCTATTTAGATCTGATGTTTTCTGTGGTTAACTGCTTTATTCTTGTAAGTAAATGACAAAGTCACAGGGAGCCTCTGAATCCAGTCTCAAAGAAATCAGAGTGCTCCAAATGGAGTGCATACCTTTACAATTATGCTTCATATGAAAGTCACACCTTAAAGGCAAATTCAAGTTACAAATCAGGCAACATATACGTACTCCGCACACATAACTCCCGTTTAGAAGCTTAACATAGCTTTTATTGCATAGCTTCCGAAAATGCAGTCAGTGAAATATGCAGCTTAGTCATAAACAGGTCCGGACAATGCCCGGTCCTTTGTCAAGCTTGGAGGCCAATAAAAGAGCTATTCTATGCTTCTTTTATTCAGGGCCTATTAAGACCTGTAATTGCTATGACTGTAGCTTGACTTGCTATAAGTTACGTTCTGTAGTTTTGCAATATGGGTTCTATACTACTGAAATTTCTGGGTGTGCCCAGACCTGCACCCCTTTATAAATAGAGGGAATCCTTTCTGGTTGTGCAGGTGTAGTTACACTGATGTACCTGATTTTTAATGTTCACAGTACTGCTAGGAAACGAAAGATGTGAAGAGACTGGTGGCTTAGCCGGAAACCTTTTCAGAGTTTGTGTAATATGTGACGAACGCGGTGCCCGACCGCTGCCCTTCTCACCAACTTGTGACAAAGGACCAGCCAATCTCACACCGCGCTGTCACTTGCATTAAAATGCCACTCTTAGCTGCACCCTGCACAAAGATTTTCTAGCTTTCAGGGCCACAGTCTAGGTGCCAGCAGCCTGAGAGGGATTGTCACTGGGATAGGTTAATTAACAATTAACCCTGCAAACTCCAAACTGCTACCAAATAGCTTTGGGTCCGTCAACCCTTCACAATGTTGGCAAGAACAAATGTGAACAATAAACGTCTGTAACACACATTGTCACCACAGACAGGTAAATTAAGAGGACTATTATATACAGTAGCAGTCTTCAAGAGACAGAGATTTTTTAGTTTGCATTAAAAGCCTTAGAGATAGTTTTAACACTCAAAATAGGGTTTATTAATGAAAAGGTCAAATGGTGCAATTTAAATTTTTTTACAGAGAAAGATGTTACAAAGACAGAAAGAGAACAATAATGCAACAAAAAAAAAAAAAGAAGGTGAAAATGGAGAATATTTGCAAAGTCCTGGTTTTAGCATAGTCCAACTATCCCAGCAAAAATGTTGCTGTGGCTCTCTTGGGTGTCTCTTGGTTGATGTTAAAACGAGAGCTTCTTTAACAAGTCCTGTCATCTCTTTTTCTGTCATATCAAAGGGGTGTTGACTGACCAATCATCCGGTTTAAGGGATGGGTGCTGGGAGGTCACCAAGCTTATGACCAAGTCCCAACTATAGTTTTATACTAATATTAATAACTTTCAAGATGTGCAAGTGGTATTCCAAAAAATTGACAGATTAATATTCAGAATTATATTTCATATCCAGGGATACCAAACACAGCATACCTTGTCACCCAAGAGAGAGGAGGCTGCTTTCTCCCCTTTTGTATGTGCTAACATAGTGATGTATGACCTTGAATTGTTCGGTATGATATATTCCCCATTCAATTCATACGTAATATTAATGTGTCCTGTTCCTGTTGAATTCTATAAATTGTATGTGGAATTGTTAGGTTGTGGAATAGATGTTTTACGGCACGCTCTGCATTCCTAGAGCTTTAATGGCCTTACAGGTCATGTGTAACAGGCTTGACTGAGCTATTATTGTTTTACGATAGGTCATAGGGAAGACTTTTTCATGGTTCCTGGAAACAGACATCCTGCAGACCTCAATTAATGTTTTACAGCTCTAACCGGGTCTCTTTGCATCTCTGATTGAGATAAGAGGCTCTTTCAAAGTTTGTTAAAAGTCATGGATACAAATTCCATAGTTTGCAGGAGGAGGGAAGGAGTAAGATCACTGCTCTTGAAACAAAATGGCAGAGACCTTAACAAGATGGCTGTCACGTACAGCTTCCATGTTCCTATTGCGCACAATCATTACATAATTTGCCTCTTGTACAACCCAGGGTTAATCTTGGCATATTTTTGCATTTATTTTAAAAAGCCAGTCCCCCCAAAAGTGAAATTTGATATAGATGAAGTTGGAACTCCATTTGTGACATGTTATAATTTCTGTCACTGTTCCCATTAGTCTTGGTGTTCTTGTGTTTCCACCAACTTTAAGTTGTTGCATTCTTCCTTGGTAATTAAAAATACATTAAAAGAGAAGTGTGAGATTAAATAAAACAAACAGTCATACTCCCCTAGGTAGATGCAGCATTGGTCCCCCGCTGTTAATACTGAGAACTGAGTGATCAAACACTGCTGATACCTTCATTCTCGGTCTTCAGTGAACAGAGAGCCAGTGACTGTCAGTCATCGGCTCTGCTCTGCCCTCTGTGGAGACTGTGGACGGGCCAGGAGTAGCTGGCTCAGGCACTCAACAGTGCACTGAGGCTTAACCAGCTGCCAGCTGGGCACCTGGGTGGATACTGACTTTAATATTGGGATCCCTCCAGTGTCTGGACCAGCTGAGTGACATCCGCCATCAGCAGACTTTAGCCCACTGTCAGCTGAATATGGGTCACAGGAGTGCACAACTAAGTGCACTCCTGTGACACACAGGAGAAGTGGGGCCAAAAGAGCTTTGTGCTGGGTACGCCACTGCCTGTAGGGAAGCTATGCTGTTATCTTCTGTAGGGCACTTGTAAGCTAAATTCTTTATATTTATAAATAGGTTGAAAGTAAATGTCACCACAGTGAACCTATTGGTACACCACTGATAACCTTACAGCATTCAGAGTATGAATTAAACACTATTCTCTAAATATGTTTTTTAACCAGGTTACTATTCATTCACAGTCTGAATTTTTTCAAAGTCTTTAGACTTTAACTTACATTACCTGTGTATGGGGCACTTTGGTCAGGGAGCGTGCACTGTGAATCTCCTAATTCCCTGTTTAGGATTACAAGTCCCATTATTCCTAGCTCCACCACACATGCTTTCTGGTGCCATAACATCAAGTTATTTACAGTACAGCACCAGCTGTACTGTAAATTTACAGAGAAGGGTGGCTCTGGTGGCACTTTTCAAGTCAAGAAGCCAATTACAGCAAAAGTCAAGGTCAGTCATCAGGGGACCTGGTGATACGAGAAGATGGAAAAGCAAAAGCTGGATCAAAAGCAGAACACAAGAAAATGCTGCCATTGGCATTTTAAACAGAATTAAAGTAGGATATCACTGTAATCATTGTCCTGGTGTGCATGCATGTAATCAGCAAGTCAATGCATGAGATGACAACAGATGAAAAATGGTGAAAACAAGTAGAAAACTCTGGGCATAGAATATTGTTTATGGAGGTTTTCTGTATATTCCATTTTACATTTTTTTCTATTGGTTGAACTAGATTGACTTGTGTCTTTTTTTCAATCTGATTATGAAACTATCGAAATAGAATATGATACAAAGTGCATGCGCGGTTTAGTGGCGGTTGCTAGGCATCTGCCGAACGTTAAAAACGCCCCACAAACGCCTATAATGCAGTTTGAATGGTGTTACCGCACCGCAAACGCCCCACAACCGCACCGCAAACGCCCCCACAACCGCACCGCAAACGCCGGGCGGGCGTTTGCGGAGCGGCACCATAGACTAGAATAGGAGGCTTTAACGCCTCCTGACTAGACCAGAGGCGTCCGTTTTGCCGCAACGCAAACGCTCCCGTTAGAACAACACCATGTGCTGTAATGTGCAGAATTGGCAGAGGCGTTTGGGAAGTGGTAAAAATGCTTCCCAAACGCCTTTCTGCCGCCTGCACAGAACACTAGTGTGAACGTAGCCTTAGAGGACACTTTTAAAAAAACAACAGTATGAGCTTATCACAGCCATAATGCTTCTCAAAAAAAAAAAAAAGATGGGGAGGGGGGCACTATATAAATATAAATCACATAGATGTGTTTTACACATGTGCCAAAATTATTAAGTGCAAAAGCTGCAGTGGGGAGCCCAGTCACATGACCACTTATGTAATGCTGGTTGTACATGGAGAGTTATTTTTTTTTTCATTCAACCAGTGGATTTAACGGAAAAAAAAAAGAAAGACAGATTCCCACATCCACACAAGTAATTCCTTTTGCTGTGCTGTTGTATCCTGACAGTGAGAAGACTCCCCAGCTATCAGAATACCCTGATCAGTGCTGCAGCCATCGGCTGCATGTGCTAATTGATTGCTGTTTTTTTAGGACCGTTTGACAGAGAGGGATACACACACATCAAAATCCTGCTGAGGCAGTTGAATTTCAATACATGTGTACCCTGTTTTAGCAGCAGAGAGAATCCCATAATACACTGCATCTACATGCAGTGGCATGCACTTAAAAATAGACTGTAAAATGCAGGCTGCGGTATAGCAAAAGCAGTCTTTTTTTCTATTATAAATGAAGCCCTTAATTTTATTCAGTTTGGGTTTACGTATACAGATACTGTAGACCTGGTATTTTGCATTTTTTGTTTCTTTCCACCCTATATTTTAAAATATTCCTTAAAGGTTTCATTCAGCTAATTGTGAATTTCTACAAGCCACAGTTGTGAGTTTAGTTAATTATTCTATGTTCAAATTGCCCACTGAAATATTTATCACAAGTGAGCTGCCATTTGTGCAATCTAGATAAGTTGCAAAACAAAAAGAGCATTACTTTAGCACTTAATATTGCACTACACTATTTTTTGACATGGGGCTGTCTTTCGGTTTTTACTTTGACAATTATTGCTAATACTAGGAGCACTTTTACTTGCTCTGCACAGACACATTTTATATACAAATTTAATAAGCAAGTTTTCTTTCAGTTTGCTTTGGCTGCACCCAAGTGACAAGGTGATTTTGTTTAATTTTGAGCAGCTAATTTCACAGACCATGATATTGGAGAGCCCATTCTGGAGACGGTTTTGGAAGCTGGAGACCTCCTTTACTTCCCTCGAGGGTTCATTCACCAGGGTGACTGTTTTCCTGATGTCCACTCTTTGCACATAACTATCTCTTCATTCCAGAAGAATAGCTGGATTGACCTACTGGAAAAAGTGAGAAGGCATTTTCTCAGTTTTAACTAGACAAAATGGACAGATGCTGTTTCTCTTTTACATGTTCCTTAATAATAAAATATTAACTTTCTGCTACTGACATTAAAGCATGCATACATTAAAGCTCCTAAAGGCGCTGAGCAAGTTAAAGTATGCCTGCCCTTACCTTTAGATGCCTTCTGTGTACTGGGTGGCATTTATTCTGGGGTGCTGTAACATGCAAATTTTTACACTTTTTGGGAGCTGATGGAACAACTTCATGATCCCACCCATTGTAATGGGGGGAACATGCACTAAGAAGTCGTCCAGCTCTCAGAAAGTTCTTAAAATTGCAAGTTACAGTACTGCAGGATTTGGGGAGCCAGGGATACTTGGGTGTCATCAAAAGGTATGTGCAGGCACGAATACTTATCTGCATCCAACTGCTGTAGCATGTTTAATACCATTAGGATACTGGCAGGATTACTTTATGTGCCAGTTTTAGGACTTGCAAACTGCTGCAATTTACAGCATATGGGCGTAAAGAGTAAGGCTGTAGTTCCTATTGCCCGTAGGAACGCACTACAGGAATTATGGAAGCCTGTATGCATGTAACCGCTAGCACCGGTTTTTACTCATGCACATGTATAAGCGTAATTTTTACAACTTCAAACTTTGTTTTGAAAAATATGCCCATATGTGTGCATGAATAAACACTGCTGCCAGTGGGTACTCATATGCACAGTGTTTTCTGTAATTCAATCTTGGCAAAAATTTGCAGCAGGTGTGGCTCCTGCCCTGTAGTAATTATGTCTTTTTAATGCATTTTGAGTGTTTTTTTATGCATTGTGATGTCTTTTTTGTGAAACTTTATGGGTTTTCTTGTCTGATATGCTTCAATGAAAAAATATAATAAAGTGTAAAAGAATTAGGCAGATGTGAAAAAATGCTGTAAATTAGGAATACTTTCAGAAAAAAGACGTGTTAATAGTTTGTTTTCATCAATTAACAAAAGTAGAAAGTAAATGAATTGAAGAGAAATCCTAATCAAAATTTAGTATGACCACCCTTTGCTTTCAAAACTGCATCAATTCTTCTACATTTCTACAAAGTTTTTGAAGGAACTCAGCAGGTAGTTTGTTCCAAACATCTTGGAGAGCTAACTACAGATCTCCTGTGGATGTTGGCCTCCTCAAATCCTTCTCTCTCTTCTTGTAATCACATGCAGACTCTATGATGCTGCGGTCAGGGCTCTGGGGGGGGATTGGGCCAAATCTTTACTTCCAGGGATCCATATTCTTCTTTACATTGAAGATCGTTCTTAATGAAATTGGCTGTATGTTTGGGGTGGTTTTCCTGCTGCAGAATAAATTTGGGGCCAATCACACACCTCCCTGTGGGTATGGATAAATATCTGCCTGTATTCCTCAGCATTGAGAACACCATTGAACTGATCAAATCTGCAACCCTATTTGCAGAAATGCAGCCACAAACTTGCAAGGAAAACTCCACCATGCTTCACTGTTGCCTGCAGACAGCCATTATTATTCTGCTGTCCAGTCCTTCGGCAAACAAACTGTTCCCTGCTACAGCCAGATATTTAAAATTTTGACTTATCGGTCCAGAGAACCTGCTGCCATTTTTCTGTGCCCCAGTTCCTATGTTTTTGTGCATAGTTGAGTCGCTTAGCCCTGTTTCCACGTCGGAGGTATGGCTTTTTAGCCACATTTCGACCACTTCTGAACAGACTTCTCTGGACAGTAGATTGGTGTACCTGGCTCCCACTGGTTTTTGCCAGTTCAGTGCTGATGGCACTGCTGGAGATATTCCAGTGTTGAAAGGAAATAAGAATGATGTGTCTTTCATCTGCTGCATTAAGTTTCCTTGGCTGTTCACTGTGTCTAGAGTCTTCAGCATTGCCCGTGTCTTTCTGCTTCTTCAAAAAAGCTTGAACAGCACATCTTGAAACCCCAGTGCTTTGAAATCTTTGTCTGGGAGAGGCGTTGCTTATGTAGTATAACTGCTTTGTGTCTTGTTGCTGTGCTCAGTTATGACCTGTGACACCTTACTAGCCGAGTTTGGCTGTTCCTCACCAACTTTTAACCCTCCTACACAGCCGTTTCTTTTTCAGTTAATGACTGTGTTTCAGCCTACATAATGAAATTCGTTAGCACCTGCTTGGTATAATTGGCTAATCATGCACCTGATGCTAACCCTCCAAAATCCTTGACTTTGTGTATGTACAAAGTGTGCAAGCATTAGAATTGATGCTGGTTTGAAACCAAAGGGTAGTCACACCAAATATTGATTTGATTTAGATTTCTCTGATCTGTTCACTCACTTTGCATTTTTTAAGTCGATAAACATAAACTATTAAGATATTTATTTTTGTAAATATTCTTATTTTATAGCATTTCTTTGTGTGTGTATAATGCATAAGCAGGGAGTTTCCTGATCATGCAACCTTATCAGACATGATGGCATTTGTTCCATGTGTACAACATGGCTTCCCAATAAAATATGTGCAAATTATCCCTTGAAAACCATTAGTCACCACTCTGTTCTGTTTGCCTTTGCTGAAAGTTTAGGGAAGTGTCTGTTGCAATTTCTTAACTCGTATAGCTTGATGTAAAGAAAATCAAGAATGAAATGGATACATTGTGGTAAAGCATTACTGCTGATTCACATCAGAATTGTGAGTGTGATCCACATTTCTGTGCTTTCCCCTGCAGTGCAACTTGACAGCCCATTCATTTGAACACTGTGGTACCATAAAATCTGGCATCCACAAGCACTGCATTTGCAATCTGTGTTTGGGGCTCCGCTGACAATGTATTGGCACCCACAACAGATCGCAAAGTCAGTGTGGTATGAACACAGTACAGGAAAAGACGCTTTTCCTGCAACCCATTCTGGTGTGAACTAGACGTTTAAGTGGACCTGAAAGCTTTGCCAGCATGTAATTTTATATATATTTATATACAGTATGTAGCTGAAGTTGCCGTTTGCCATGTCTATTCATACAGTTACATAAAAAAGAAATAGATATAGGAGATCATCTCTTTTACAAACTAAGTAAAACCGGAAAGCTAAAGTAAACAGTGCAGCGTGTGGAAATCCAATTCAAATTTATTAGGAAAGTCAGTGCTCACTGATCAGACTGTACCAAACTAAAATCGTATTGCACTGGGTAACTGCACTTAAAGATGGCTACTAAGTAGGATGGTTCATGTTTGTTGTGCTAGAATCTTGTAATAGTTTTTTTGTTTGTTTACTGCAGTTCCTTTATTTGAATGAATATAGTAAATTATCATTTATTTTCTGTTACCCTGTATCTTTAGCTCTTGCCAGCATCCCTGCAGATTGCAGCTGAGGAGGATGTTGAATTTCGGCAGGGGCTTCCTCTAGACTACATGGAGTACATGGGTGTACAAAATGCAGACTTGGTAAGTGAGATTGTGCGTTCTGTTGAGTCACTTACTCACTGTGTGGGTTTATTTATATTTTACCGAATACTTTCTTCAGCAGATAAACAGTAAATTGATTACTTATTTCCCAGATGTCTTTAGACAAATAGCATCTATATGTGAAAATAGAAATAAATATTTAACCATTAGCATGTCATCCTACATCTTTAGGGCCGATTCACACTACAGAAATGCAGTCCGGAATGCGTTTCTGCATCTGCTTGCACGTTTCTTACACATTATGGTGCATCTTTAATGCGTTTCAGATAGTTCATGTGTTCCAGATTTCTGCATCTGCATGCATGTTTCTTACATGTTACGGTGCATCTTAAATGCGTTTCAGATATTTCATGTGTTCCAGATTTTCCTCTTTTCTTTTTTCATTTTTTTTTTTTTTTTGCTTTTTCACTGTTTTATTTTTTTCACAGAAGTTTGCACATCTTGAATAAAACCCCAAAACAAAGAGAGCTCACACAAACACCTATTTGTATAACATTTAATTAAGTAATGACAGATACAAATACCAAATGTAACTATATTAGAAAATATAACAAGAATACTTAACTAAAGATGCTTTTTTGCCACGAAGCCCTGCCCGCTGTCATGGCGTGGCACACATGATCATAATCAGACGCAATCTTGACAGTAGCTCTGGGACAAGACTCATTATTCCAAGTTTTAGCTGTATTATATACAGGACTTTTATAAGGACTTGATCAGTTTGTAATGGCATTCCCTTGGTATGAAGTCAGCTAAGGTAACCAGGCTTTGGATTCTTTCTTAGATATTGTGGAACAATTTTTAATAAAAAAATATGACATTTCCCCACCAGCCGTTTTTTCCCCATTTAAGTACAATTCCCTGAAAAAAAAATGCAGAATGTTCTACTTTTGTTGACTGTACCGGAACCCATGTAACCTATTGTTCATGTATTTGTGATGCAGAAAGTAAATGCACTGGACTGCATGTGGTGGAAACCGGCCATACAGCAAAGTGGAGGGTTCTTATTTCTGCAACATCGCCTGTAAATGCCACTGCAGGAAAGGGTGCTTAGTTTTCCCCTGCTAGCAACATATGTCCTCCCCACTCTTTATGGCTTTGACAATTTTTTGGTAGAGTTACTGAATGTGGGCAAACTTTTACTAGATTTGACTATGGCATTTTTGACTCCCTAGTGCTACTTTTCACAATATTAGCTATTCACTGTAATAAATTAATATTGCTGCTTCAGGACCAATATTGTTGGTCAAATGACTGAGTTATGTAATACTTTTCATACTATCACTCTTAATAAAGAAGTTAACACACGGTATCACAAACACTGGAAACAGAGAAATGGTCTGGTAATTAAGGGGTAGTAAAGGCTGGTACTCAAGTGGGTAAAAGGCTACCTGCACAAGGTCTGTGGAGTCTAGAGGCTGAAAGACAAATTTTGTTTTTAATGGTAGTTTAAAGGGTAACTCCACCTTTACACCATGTTACACCCATATTTGGTGCGTAACATGGTGGAGATGAAACCCCTCTACCCCCTGACAGTGTGTGGGGGTTCTCCCCGCAGCATCTGTCACATTTTTAAAATTGGTGTGACTGTTCAGGGCTCCACAGAACAGGTTCAAATACTGAGGAATTGAGTCCTGTGTCACTAGATGGAGTGTTGTACATGCGCACTGTCTTCAAGGTAAGGTAGCATCTTCCCGCCATTGCCCATATTGGCAAAAGACGTGTGGTTCCACCTCATTTGCAGTAGTTCTTGCTGCCACATACAATGTAACAATTTAAAAATCTCTTACTCTCTTTAGCAAGTCTCTGTTCATACCCTGACTGAACTGATTGGGTGTAGCAGGTCATATCTTGTCATAGTGTGGATATGTGCTGGCCCTTTCTCTTCCCCCTTCTTTTTTGTTTTCTTCATCTTTCTATATGTTCTTTCTGTCTCTGTATTTACCATCAGTGTATGTCAGCCTACACTACACGTGTTGTACTTCGGTTCTCTTAAGCTCCGGTTTTCCTGTACCGTGGGGTTACCTTCTCCATGCGGTAACCATTTAACGACCGCTCTATAGCAGATATACTGCTACAGTGCAGCACCTGTGCGCAAAATCACGTATATATGCGTGATTTCACATTTCCGGGTAGGGGGCGCGTGCCGCCATTTCTGCCGCGGATGTCAAATCACTGGGTCCCGAGCATCTCCGAAGGGGAGGAAGATTGTTTTGTTTACAAATCTTCCTCCCTGTCAGCTCGAGCACACTGCTCGGGATGGCTGTACACAGCACAGCCATCTCAATCAGTGCACTTACAGTGAAGTACACACCCCCCTGCCCCCTAGTAAAAAAACACTCCCAGCATACAGTTAACTCTTTGATCGCCCCTCACATTAACCCCTTCCTGCTCAGTTCTATTAGTACAGTGTCAGTGCTGTATTGGTGTGACTGAGGTGTCAGTGACACCAAGTTAGTTCCCCCCCAGTGTCAGAATGTCCGCCGCAGTCCCGCTAAAAGTCGCTGATCGCCATCATTACTAGTATAAAAAGAAATCTCATTATCTATACTGCCATTTGTAAACACTATGACTTTCACGTAAACCAGTTAATTTACATGTATTGCAATTTTTTTTTACCAAAGACATGTAGCAGAATACATTTTGACTAAATTTATGACAAAATTTGATTTTTTTTTTTTAATTTTTTACTGGACATATTTAATAGCAAAAAGTCCAAAAGATTTTTTTTTTTAATCAAAATTGTCAGTGTTTTTTAGGTTATTGCGCAAAAAAAAAACACAGGCAATCAAATACTACTGAAAGAAAGCTCAATTCATGAGAAAAAAGGACGTAAATTTCATTTGGGTGCAGCGTTGCATGACCGCGCAATTGTCAACTAAAGTAACGCAGCGCCGTAACGCAAAAAATGGCCTGGTTATGAAGGGGGGTAAACCCTCAGGAGGGCAAGTGGTTAATATTTGTTTCTACAGTATATATGCTGCTCCACGAATTAAAGCTCATGTTGCTGACTGCTTAAATAATCTCATCTTTTAGCATTCAACTTGTTATGAGAGTGTATAGCAGTGTGCTATCGGATTGTCTTGTATGTTGATTGTACACTGCCTCACATTTAATTTATTTCCCAATAAAAATATTGCAATAAAAATATTGCACAAGAAACATCTCCTACTCTCAGCTGCTAGTTCATGAGTACCTAAGGTTTTTACCTGGTATACTCAGCTAAGATGTTCGTGTTTGCAGTGCAACATGTCATAGTTACATTGTTGGTAAGGTTAAAAAAAGGCACTGGTCCATCCATTTCATCGTGTTTGTCACAATTTCCAATATCCCTATACATTGTGTTCACTAAGAAACACATCTATACGTTTTTTGAACTTATCTACACCCTCCCCCCAAACATCACCAAAAAGAGTTCCACATCCTTACCGTAAAGAAACGCTTATGCAGTTTTAGATTTAACTGCTTCTAACCCAACTTCAACATGTGGTTGTTTGTCGTCTTTAGAGAACTTAGATTAGTTTTCTCCCAATATACAGTCCCATTTAAAGATTTGTTATATTGTCACAATCTAATAACGGGGCTGGAGGACCTCAGTTATAAGGAATGACTACAATGTAGATATGATTATCTACATTGTAGTCATTCCTCATAACTGAGGTCCTTCAACCCCGTTATTAGTTTTGTTGTCCTTCTCTGAATATTTCTCTTCTGTTCAAGCACATCTTCCAGAGGACCAAAGCTGGACATCATAATCAAGAGTTTTGTAAACTGGTAGAAATATAGTTTTATCTCTTCAGTAAATACCCTTTTTAATGCAGGCTAATAACCTGGTAGCCATGCTAACTGCAGCTATTGTTGAGTTTGTCATCTAGTAGGACTCCCAGATTATTTTCCAACCTTTGATTCTCCTTCTAGCGTGTAACTTGCATTCATATTTTAAGCTCCCAAGTGCATTACTTTACATTTTTCAACAATAAACCTCATTTGCCATATAGCTGCCCACTCCTCTGTTTTAACTAAATCTTCTTACAAAGTTGCTGTATCCTGTTGTGAAGTTATGGCCCTGCTTAGCTTTGTATCATCAGAAAACACTGAGATGAACTACTGAATTGCTTATTCCAACCTCTATATCATTTTTAAACAAGTTAAACAAAATTGGTCCCAGGACAGAACCTTGGAACACCATGCTCACAACTCTAGACCATTCATAAAATATACCACTTATCGCCACCCTTTGGACTTGCTTCTGCAACCAGTTTTCTATCCAGGTACATACAATCTTGTTATTGCCAAAAGACGTTCATTTGTAAATGTCAGATCACAAAATTAAGAGGAGCAGTCCCACCTAATAGAATCTCTCCGACTCTCGATCTACTAACAGTTACAGGGCAGTTTTCAGTGTTTCCTGTTGAGGTTGGCTCCTTCGGGTGGTGTTTCCCCTTAAATTTTTGCCAGGAGGTTTTTACCACACTTACAGGATTGGGCCAAATTTCAAAGCTGTGTTTGACTGATCGCAGTTGACAGAAGTGCACCTCAGTGCCATCCCCTGCAGAATCATTGACTGATCTGCCTGTAGCCTTAGCAGACTTCAATCCTTCAGCAATTATTGATGGGGTGCATGCCAGCATAAAGATGTAAATTCAGCCTGTAGCTTCTACTAGTGCTGCAATTTTTCTAGGGTCCCTGGGAGGCCTTAGGACCACTAAAACATTTTCCATGCACACGTGATTTCTGCACATTGACAGGAAAACTGTTTACACCTCCTAAACATTTTGCTGTTCAATACACATTTGATTAACCACTTGGTAGCCACCCTATAGCAGATGTACTGCTACAGGGTGACCATTCTGTGCAAAATCATATATATTTATATATATATGTGTGTGTGTGTGTGATTTTGGACTTCTAGGTGCAGGGGGTGCACGTGCACCGCTTCTGCTGTGATTAGTCACAGCAGAAGCCGATCAGCCTGTGCCTGCCAATGGAAGACCACACACGCTGATCGGCAAAGAGAGAGACAGGACACCGCTCTGCCTATGTAAATAAGGCAGAGCTGTGTCCTGTCAACTGCGATCTGCTTGATTTTCTTTCCCTGTAAAGCAGGGAATAAAATCCAGCACATTGCCTAGTAAAAACACTTAAATGTACACAGAAAAACACTGGTTAGGCACACAGTTAACCATTTGATCGCCCTAGATGTTAAACCCCTTCCCAACCAGTGTTATTAACTGTATTAATGACAGTGTATATTTTTTAGCACTGATCACTGTATTAGTGTCACTGGTTCTCACAAAGTGTCAGTTAGTGCCAGACTGTCTGCTGCAATATTGTAGTTCCGCTATAAGTCGCTGATTGCTGCCATTACTAATAGTAGATGCGATATCTTTTGAGCAAACCAATAAATATTTGCTTGTTGGGTTTTTTTAATCAAAAATATGTAGCAGAAATTTATGAAGAAATTAGATTTTTTTTAAATCTAAAGAAAGTAAAAAATATTGTTTTTTTTTTCAAGTTTATAGCGCACAAAATAAAAATCCCAGTGGTGATAAAATATCACAAAAAAAAGCTTTATTTGTGTATAGTGTTGCGTTGCAATTGTCAGTTAACATAACACTGCACCATATAGCAAAAAAATGGTCTGGTCATGGAGGGGGGGTAAATCTTCCAAAGTAGTTAAAATGTGGGCTGTTTCTTCGGTTAATCCAGCAGCATTATCTCTTAATAAAGCTGTAAAAAAAAGACTTCACTGTAAATATGCTATTTTACTGGCCGTGCTGTCTGTTTGTATATTTATCATGTAGATAAATGTCAACAGCATATGTCAAGTGTTCTCTATTGCTTGCAAATCGTGAGCTACCATAACAAGAAGCAAACCATGGTTTGCAAAATTCTGACAGATGCTTGTGCATTGGTGAGAAACCCTGTAGCAGGTACAGGGTTTAAGTGGAAATCAGTCCTCAAATACTCAACTGATATAGAAATGGTTGTAAATGGGTATTCGTAAGCTGTGAAAAGGCCCTGCCAATAAGCTTAATCTTCCTGATATGCTTTATCTCCCATGTGAATATGTCCTTTGGGAACTGAATTTTGTGTTTGAGCAAATAAGATATGATTGTGATAAAATGTTCAGTTATACTGTATTTTTCTGTATCAGTAACACAGCGCCTAATGTAATAATGTCATAGTAATCAACAATACAGGTTTCCTAAGTATTGTTTTCCTAGATATTGTTACTGTTAAGCTAAATAAGTCTAGTTTCTGGGTCCTGTACAGTCAAACCTTGTTCAAATAGTATTAGTAGGATTACTTGTTGTATCTTGTTGTCACTGTTATTTTGTTATTATTCTGCTTAATAAGTTGGGGTGGATTTTTATATGCTGTTCTGATTTAGTAATGTTTGTCCTGTTACTTTCAAGGAGGATCCACGAAGAAACGCATTCATGGAGAAGGTTCACTCGTTGGTGAAGAAGCTGACAGAGTATGCTCCAGTAGATGCAGCTGTAGATCAGAAGGCGAAGCAGTTTCTGCATGACTGTCTGCCCCCCGCACTTACTCCTGGTATGTGGGTAACTGTGTGAGCCATATTAATGTGCACACAACATCTCTTTTCTCTAAGAGTCAATGGAATAAAGTAAAAAAAAAAAAAGCAAAAAATGATCTGTGGGCTTGTTTCTCCACCTAGTGTGCATATGTTCTTTAGCCCTATTCATTCCTACTGATGGTTGGCCTGTTGTCTGCTGGTGGACTAGTGGCCACAATAAATATGGACCTTCTATTCAAGTGAATGGGAATGCGACTGGGATGTTTTGGATGCAGAGACCTTGTGGTGCCTCCTAGGGCTGCATGGAAATTAACCCAGGATTTGAGGATAAAGGTTACAGCTATTCCTGATACGTTTTGGTAGTGGGACTTTATTTAAAGGGCACTTTAGCTAAAGCAGGCCATATACACATTTTTTTCATGCTAAACAATACAGGTGAACAAAGCTTCTCTGCCAGCTACTCTGTTAATGTATTTTGACAGCTGCAATGGCTGCATCTGATTGGATGCAGGTGTTGTTTAGCTGACAGTTCTCCTACAGGCTCCTTTGACCAGTTCTTGCATTGACTATTTTTTTCCATATGACCTTTTCCTAGTCCTCTAGTATCCCCACATGATCATTTTGGGAGGCTGTGATTAAACTGACTAGATGCCTTTTAAAGGACCTAATAAGTCTTAATGATGTGAAGAGGAAACTCACTAGTTTGACATGAATGGAACTTTACACTAGGCTAGGCTACCCTAATTGTCTAGGAGGTCCACAAACGTGTGTCTTGTGTAGTTCTCAGTAAGCATAGCAGCAGAAGCAAAAAAGAGCTATCAAGACTTTCTATCTTCTAGATCAGTGTTTCTCAACCTTTAACCCTTTTGCACACATAGTTACATAGTTAGTCTGGATGAAAAAAAACAAAAGTCCATCCAGTTCAACGAAAAAAAAAAAAATCCTAAACCTACAGTTGATCCAGAGGATGGCAAAAAAACCCAGCAAAGCATGATCCAATTTGCTCCTGCTGGGGAAAAAAATATTTCCTTATCCCCTGAGAGGCAATCAGATATTCTCTGGATCAACTTTACCTATAAATGTTAGTAACCAGTTATATTCTGTGTATCCAAGAAAGAATCCAGGACTTTTTCAAAGCATCCACGGAGTTGGCCAGAACCAACTCTTGAGGGAGTCTAGTCCACATTTTCACAGCTCTTACTGTGAAGAAACCTTTCTGTGTTTGGAGATTGCATTTCTTTTCTTTCAGACATAAATAGTGCCCCCTTGTCCTCTGTGATGATCTCAAGGTGAATAACTCTACACTGAGTTCACTATATGAACCACTGATGTATTTATACATGTTGACCATATCCCCCTTAATCTCCTCTTCTCAAGAGAGAATAAATTCAGTTCCTCTAATCTTTCCTCATAGCTGAGATCCTCCATGCCTCTTATCAGTTTGGTTTCCCTTCTATGTACTTTCTCCAGTTCCTCAATGTTCTTTTTGTGAATTGGTGCCCAAAACTGAACTGCATATTCCAGATGAGGTATTACTAATGATTTGCACAGGGGGGTAATATGATATCTCTCTCTCTGGAGTTTATACCTCTTTTAATACAAGAGAGGATTTTGCTCGCTTTAGAAACCGCAGCTTGGCATTGCATGCCATTATTAGGCTTATGATCTACCAGAACTCCCAGATCCTTCTCCACCATTGATTCCCCCAGTTGCACTCCCCCTAGTATGTATGATGCATGCATATTCTTAACCCCCAAGAGCATAACCTTACATTTATCAACATTAAACCTAATTTACCACTAGTTGCCCAAGTAAACAGTGCATTATTACATTGCACAGCTTGGTGTCATCTGCAAAGACTGAAATGGTATTTATAATCCCAGACCCTATATAATTTATAAATATATTAAAAAGTAAGGGTCCGAACACTGAACCTTAGGGTACACCACTAACAACCCTAGACCATTCAGAGTATGAATCATTAACCACTACTCTGTGAATACGATCTTTTAGCCAGTTTTCTAACCATTTACATACGGATTTTTCCAAGCCTGTAGACTTTACCTTACACATTAGCCGTGTGTGGGGAACTGTGTCAAACGCTTTTGCAAAATCCAAGTATACCACCGCCACCCCTCTGTCCAAGGTTTTGCTCACCTCCTCATAAAAAGAAATGCGATTTGTTTGACAACTTCTGTCTTTCATGAATCTATGCTGTCTGTTGCTTAAAATATTTTTTTCCCAGCAAGAACTCAGCCAGTATCTTCCCAACTATAGAAGTTAAACTAATAGGTCTATAATTACTTACTTGGTAAAGATTTTGACCCCTTTTTAAATATAGGCACCACATTGGCCTTACACCAATCCAGTGGTACTATGCCAGTCATTAAAGAGTCCCTATAAATTAGAAACCATGGCTTTGAAATGACAGAGCTCAATTCTTTAAGGACCCATGGGTGTACGCCATCTGGTCCAGGTTCTTTATTCACCTTTATTCTGTCTAAATATTTCTGGATCATAGCAATTGTGAGGATCATCAACGAGGATCATCTGGAGCTGTGTCATTACCATGCCCATTATGGACAAGAGCTCCCCCATGCTTCTTTGTATACACAGAGCTGAAGAATGTATTTAATAAATTTGCCTTCTCTTTGTCCCCAGTCACCCACTCTAGATTACTTTGTGAAGGGCCTACATGCTCGGACTGGACCTTTTTATTATTAATACTCCACACATTTAAAAAGCAATTTTAGGCCTGGAAATTGCACAAAACCACCAAAACATTATATATTTTCTGAAAGTAGACACCGTAGAGATAAAATAGTGGTAGTTCCAATTTTTTATGTCGCACATTATTATGGCAGAGGTCTAGGAAACACAAAATTTTAGTAAAAAGTACACTAAAGTGAATTTTAAGGCAAACAAATGCAATAAATTGCCCAATATCTTTCTACAATATAAAATACGAGGTTGTGCCGAGTAAATAGATACCCAATATGCCAAACCTTAAATTTTGTGTGAGCCTATGAAATGGCGACAAACTTCAGTACCCTATATTTTCTATAGGTAAAATTTTCAAAAGCCCTTTTAGGTAATTGGTTTAGCGTTACAGAGGAAGTCTTGTGCTGGAATTTTTGCTCTCACTCTGGCGTGCGCAGTGATATGTAATGTGTATCGCAATTGGCGGTTCCACGTGTAGGCGCCCTGATGTGTGTGTTTACATTCGTATGTGGGGGTGGGTAGGGGCCTCAAATTTTTTTGGGGGGGCGTGTTATGTGCTTGGGTGTAACTAATTTTTTTATACCTTAACTTTCTGTTATCACATAGGGGACACGAAGTTAGATGGGGGGGCCCCGATACCGGGGGTTGTGGAAGTAATCGTGCAGCAGCACTCGAGTCTGCCTGTCACAATCATGGTAGCTGCAGGCACCGGATTGTGCATAAATCCCCCCCTGTCAGGTCTGTATGACATAGGGACCTGGTGGTGAGGGTAAGGGTTAAAATTATTCACCCCATTCTAAAATGTAAAAAATGAAATGAATAGTTTTACATAATGCAGCGGTATAGACACATATAGGACACCCAACAGTAGAGGCAAATTCATTTTCACACTGGTACTGACTAGTATTCCAGCGTTTCTCTTCTCTCTTATTCCATTAATGTGACTCCAGTGCTGACAGAGAGGGGAGGGACAAACAAGGATGTCCTCAGGTGCCCGATTCCCTCTTTATGAACCCATAACATTATCGGTTGCTAGAATGCAAGCAGCTGGCCTGAACAATGCCCAGGGTTGTAATGCTGCACCAAAACAGGTAGGCTTGATCCACTTTTCAGCTTGTTAACAATTTTGGGCAATTTGGGACAATTTTTAGGCATTTTGCCAAGACTCAGAAGAAGAACTGAGAAGAGACACACATGGTTGAAAAGGCTGTTCTAGATTGTATACATGCAATTAAATGTGCCCTAAAAGTTCCTAGCAACTGAGGCAGCTTCAGAGATACTTACTGAAGGAACATTTAAAATAATTCTGAAGGATGATGACATTAAGGGCCTGCGTCTCTTTATTACATATCAATTGGAACCACTTTTGGTTGCTTTTCTGCTAGTAATGCTTTCAGTGCAGATAAGCAGGTTTTTCAAATCCTGGTTTTCCCCCAGTTTCCGTTCATCTTTCTCACCAAAAGATGTTGTCCAGTTTATGAATGCATATTACTATAATCCATTTAGTCCCCTTCCACACAGTTGATCCGACCTGATCCATTCCCTCCAATGGACAGGCAGGTGCAAACAGACTTGTTTCTGTTTACACACGCGCCCACCTATGGGTCCAATCCCGTCCGCTAAGATAAAAGATCTGTTTACACCCAGCCACACATAGCACAGAGCGGGCTTTGTCCGTGTCTGTCCTGCATAAACTGAGTGGACACAGGTGTGCCTTCCACCCACTCTGCTCCAGTCAGCAGGGAATCTGTGAGCGGATCTTCAACTGTATTTCCATTGTCTCTATTGGTTTTATTCATGTTTAATAAAGTGGATTGTTTGAAGTGCAGCCGATCGGATCTTTTCTGTCTCCATAAGATATGGAAGACCTTAAATCCCCTATGTTTAGCTTGATTGAAGGTCATCTCTTTAGTTTTCTTAATCCTAAAGGGACACAGGATGAAGTATCCAGGTACATTGGGTTATGAGATTGTTCAACGGTAAACAAAGCCCAGTATAACCCCTCCCACTCGTAGCAAGCTTCAATTTTTTTCCCTATTATTTTAGGATAACGGACACCTCTCCGTACTTTCTTTAGTACTTACAGCCAGAGGGTGCTAATTTTGCAACTCTCCAGATCAGGTTATACTTTGCATTGCCATGGAAGCCATACTTGGACCCTGCTGAAAGGAAAACTCCCTCCTCTGTTTTGTCTAGGTAGGATACCTCGGCTACTATGTCTGATTTTGTGAGAGAAATTGCCGCCATGCCGTCATACCAGAGTCCATCTCCTAATTTCCTGGGGCTTTTAGTTGCT